TCATCATGTTAAGACAGTGGTTCACCGAACCCAAAAAGGTCCATTAGTTGCACAATCATTTCTCTTTTTTTAACAGATTGAGGGAGGTACAATTTTTATAGGCGATAGACAGTTAACATTTCCATTCCTAGTTTCTTCCAGTGTTGTGGAGGAGGACTTCCATTGGTGTCAATGGGATCACTCTTCTCAATCCTCATGGATTTGACAGAGTGGTTTGAGAGGGGGACCCTAACTGTGGTGACCAGTGTTGAAATCCCTGCTCAGCCATGGAAATCAATGGTATGATCTTGGGATAATCACACTCTCTACTCTGACCAAATCTTGCCAAGAAAACCTCAGTGATTTGTGTGTGTGTGTGTGTGTGTGTGTGTGTGTCAGAAGTATCTTGAGAAACTGCAAGTCACTTCTGGCATGAGAGAATTGGTAATCTGTAAACATGTTGCCCAGGGGATGCCCTGATGTTTTACCATCCTGTGGAAGGCTTCTCTCATGTTCCTGCATGGAAAGCTGGAGCTGACAGATGGGAGCTCACCCTGTCTTGTGTATCTGAACTGCTGACAATCAAGTCAGCAGTTCAGCTGGTACAAAGGTTTAACCCAGACATGAAGAAACCCAGGCCTGGGGGCCGGATGTGCCCCCTTGGGTTCAATAATAATAATAATAATAATAATAATAATAATAATAATAATAATAATAATAATCTTTATTTATACCCCACCACCATCTCCCCAATGGAGACTTGGAGCGGCTTACAATAAAGTAAATTACAATAAAGTAAACAATATAATAATGAGAGGGGGGAAAGCATATAAACAATACACATAAAACATAAAACCAAAACATAATAACAGAGAGCGGGCCACATATACATAAAATGATTTTAAAAAAACTTTGGGCGCGATAAAAGGACCTCCTCAGGACCCCCTCTGGACCTCCTCTCTCACACCATCCTATCCTTGCTTCCTTCTAATAATAACAATAAATAATAAACTTTTTCTGTACCCCGCCACTATCTCCCCAACGGGGACTCAGGGCGGCTTACATGAGGCCAAGCCCAAACAACAATTTACAGTAAAATTAAAACCAAAACACAAACAATAGCACAATAAAATACAAAAAGATATGAATACAATAAGCAATATACAAATGCAATATCCACAAACACAATGACAATGAGCAGGCCACATGTGCACGTTAAAATACTAAAACTCAGGATGAGATAAAAGAGGAGCAAATTTGCAAGGGAGAGCTCAAGAAAATACTGGGTTATAAAAACAGGCCTTCATATAAGGGGGAAGTGTACTCCAGGGGCAATAGTATTGAGTGGAGCAATAGTTTAAGGTTGTGTGACTGCTCTCCAAAGGCACAACAGAATAGCCAAGTTTTAAGATTCTTTTTAAAGGTTTCTAAGGCGGGGGCTTTCCTAATCTCTCCAGGCAAGGAGTTCCAGAGTCGGGGGTCTATCTTCCTTCCATCCTTCCCTTCCTTCCTGCCTTTCCTCCCTCTTTCTCCTTCCCTCCTTCCTTCCCTTCCACCCTTTTCTCTCTTTCCTCTCTCCTTTCCTCTCTCCCTCCCTCCCTCCTTCCTACCCTTTTGTCTTTCCTTCATTCTCCCTTCCTTCCCTCCATTCTCCTCCACCCTTCCTTCTTTCAATCCATCCTTCTTCTTCTTTCCTTCCTCCTTTCCTCCTTGGGGGATGTTTAGCCAGGAGATGGTAGAGAAGGAACATGAGAACCACGTTTCAAAGTTTCAAAGTGTGTCCCATTGAGGAGGAGGGGGAAAACTGACTTTCTGATTCTCTAGGGACCAGGACACAAGGGAGCAATGGTTTCAAATGTCAGGGCAAGTGATTCAACTGAAAAGATTAAGAAGAACATCCTGGAGAGTGGCATAGGCTATCTCAGAGTGTGGAGGAATCTCCTTCTCTGGAGGCTTTTCCACAGAGGCTGTCTTCCGAGGGTGCTTTTGTTGTACCTTCTTGCATGGCAGAGGGTTGGACTGGGCAGCTCTTGGGTGTCTCAATGTATTGTCGAGGGCTTTCATGGCTGGAATTATTGGGTTGTTGTAGGTTTTTTTGGTCTATATGGCCATGTTCTAAAGGCATTTTCTCCTGATGTTTCACCTGTATCTATGGCAAGCATCCTCAGAGGTAGTGAGGACTTGGGTGTCTCTTCCAACTCTAGAGTTCTAGGATTCTATATCAGGAGTAAGCAATATGGGGGTCTAATGGAAACACTTTTTACTCCCGTCCACCATCTCATCCTGACCAAGGCCAACCCTTTTGGGATCCAAACATTTCTTGTCTTTCCTTCACTTTCTGCCTCCGAAAGAGAAGAGGAAGGGGAGGAAAGGGCAGGGATGGAGTTTGGGGAGAACCCCTTTGCTCTCGACCCGCCCACATCACTCCAGCCCCCAAGTTAAAAGGTTTGCCCATGCCTGGTTTAATGCATTGCTCCATCAATATAATATAAACCATAAGTTGGAAATGACTTGAAGGGTCACAACACAACAACAACAATTCCCCTGTTGAATTTTACAAAAAGATAGAGGAGAAAGGGTTGAATTTACAAAAAGATAATGTTGTTAACCACACAATTAAAATGATGTGCTCTTGCCCTTCAAATGGGTCTAATTATAGTTTTTTCTTACCCAGAGGCCTGTTTTCTCCCCCCCCCCCTCGCACTTTATACACCATAAACTCTAAATTAGATGAGATTGTGGCCTTCAAGAGGTTTAATGGTTTCCTGACTGAATAGCTGGCTGTGAGTGGAATAATATCACAAAAAATACTTCCAAAACCAAGATAGGGAACTCAGACATTTTAATTTACGCTGGAATGGAACCCAGACAAAGCCTTTTCTTTCTTCTTTATATATAAAAAGGACAACCAGTTATTTGCAGCTTTGTGTCTGGAGAAAGACATATCACCTACACTGTGTAGTGAGAGTCAACAACTTAGCTGCAGACAGTAGAAAATTGATGTGTAATTACTATTTAAAAACATGTTTCTTAAATTCTCCTTGCTAAAGAGGCTCTGTTTTTGTTGTTACTTCAAGGCAAAAGTAAAGCCTACAACTGGATATAATTTTCACCCCATACCCTTTCTCTCTCTCTCTCTTTTAGAAAACACAGCTATTATGGTGAGATTTTTTTTAAAGGCTGAAGTCTGCAAAAGTTTAAACTGGAAATAAAATTATTTTAGTGGTTCAGTCATTGTCTATATTGGAGCTCCTTATTCTTTCTTGTTCCAATCAATCTCTCCAACAGTGTCCTTTTGAATACTGTTATTTCTTGTCAAAAGCATTGCATAGATAAGTATAAAACTGATAAAAAAACAGGGAACACAAGAGGCTAAATAATTCTCGACCAAAAACAAGCAACAGCAGCCACATTGTCTGTAGCTTTAAACAGTTCTTCCTCTGTACATGAGGCAGGGCATTGTGGACATGCATACAGATGAGAAGTTGTTTGTTCTACTCCACAGTTGCACAAGGTGGAGGATTCTTGCAGGTAATGCCATTTTTCCAGGTTGTCTTTTGACCCGCCCACTCCACTTCTGCATCTGTTCTGGGACTTCCAAGTTACCCATTCTTGGTTTGCCCCTGGAGGAAGACCCTCATGGGGGGCCATCCAGTTGGGATTTCCTGATTTAGCTGCCCAGAGGGATACTCTTTCTGTTGGTGGGAGAACATTAAGAGGAGTGGCGGTTCTCATGAAACTTTTCCTTGATTAGAGTCTACTGGGAGGAGGTTGATAGCCATGCAGTGGATGGCTTTCACAGTGTTCAGCCTTATTTCTCCCACATTTGGTGGCAACTTCCCATCACACATCAGGAGGTGGGAACAAAGCCAGCTAGCCTATAGACCTTATCAACAAGTGTAGGTTTGAGACATCCTGTGATTGTTCTACAGTGCTATATTAACCTGCTTCACGTGGACAGACTTGTGCTAAACTGGGCAGGCATACTCAGCAGATGAGTTAGACAAGGCCAGGGCTGGTGTTCTTATTAATTTTGGGTCTGTACCCAATGTACTATCAGTAAGTTTCCACAGGATGTTATTGCATGCCCCCAGTGTCGCAGTGGGTTAAAGTGCTGAGCTGCTAAGATTTTGTTATACTTGTATTTGTATATATGTACATAATGAAATGTACATATATGCACATATTTATGTACAATGAATAGGAGCCCCCGGGGGTGCAGTGGGTTAAAGTGCTGAGCTTGTTGACCAAAAGGTTGCAGGTTCAAATCCGGGGAGCGGCGTGAGCTTCCGCTGTCAGCCCCAGCTTTTGCCAATCTAGCAGTTCAAAAACATGCAAATGTGAGTAGATCAATAGGTACCGCTCCAGTGGGAAGGTAACGACGCTTCATGCAGTCATGCTGGCCACATGACCTTGGAGGTGTCTACGGACAATGCCAGCTCTTTGGCTTAGAAATGGAGATGAGCACCACACCCCAGAGTTGGACATGACTGGACTTATTGTCAGGGGACAACTTTTACCTTTACCTACTTTGGACTCTTAACAACCACACAACCTTCAATATTATCAGGAATGATGGAAAGTATGGTACAAAACCTAGAGTTGTTAATTCTTTAACCTGCCTTACTATAAAATAATCCAATCCTTATCTGATTTCCATATCACAGTAACTCCAAGGCATTGTTATTATAGTAATTTTCAAAAAAGGTCTAATAGTTGTGATTATATAGCTCTAAAAAACTACTTCATCCAGTTCATGCATTTAGTGATATACCCATTAGATTTAAATAGGAATCGTGAATGTCTTCAGGCACCCTTGGATCTTTCATTCTCTACTAGCCCAAGTCTATGCAGTTAGAAGGAAGATACCACTGAATTCAAACAGAGTGGTTTCCAAATAAATAAGCGCAGGATTACAACCGAAATATGTCTCCCTAGAAACGACTCTCTGTTTTTCAATCAAATATAAACTGAAGTTTGCTGAAATTTTATTCTTGAATTTCTGCACTTTTGTTTTGTAGCATCTTTGGACAAGTGGCAACGTGTTGATGGGGCTGCTGTTCTCATTGATCCCTCCATTTCCAAATATGATGTTGTGCACATCAGCCGCGATGTCTCCAGTGACTTTGCCACCATCCGAGACTTTTGCCTTACAGGTGAGAAAGTCCTTTTTATTTTGTTTCATCCTGTTCAGTTAGGGCTCTCCCACACATGTATCCTAGATTATCAAGGCAGAAAAATCCCACATTATCTGAGTGTGAACTCAGATAACCCCGTTTTCAGATTTTCTATCTTTATATTCTGGAATATAGGGCTGTGTGGAAGGGCCCTTAGAATCTCAACTACTAAAAGGATACTAAAGTCTCCGTCCTCTTCCTTCTGTTCCTCCTTGCCATATGTTTCTGCATTTGCAAAAATAGGCACCAAGGTACCCTATTTTCAGTTCTTTTGACTTCTCAAACTTAAGCTCTGATTAGATGTGACATTGAGATCCAGTGTGGCATAGTGGTTTGAGCATTCAACTATGACTTTCAAGACCAGCTTTCGAATCCCTGCTTGCCCATGGGGTGACTTTGGGAAAGCCACACTTTGTCAGCTTCAGAAGAAGGCAAAGAGAAATCCCTGCTTTGAACAAATCTTGTCAATAAAACGCCACAATATGTTCACTTTAGGCTTGCCTCAAAAAAGACTTGAAGGCACACTATAAGAAGATGTGATGTTAAGGTCCCCATGGTAATGAATTAAAATAAAAGCTGTTGTGGGCATGCAAGATTGGTCCTGAAGAGGTTAAACCATAACAGCTGTTAGGAATTGTGGAAGTTGAAGTCCAAGACATCTAGAGCAGTGGTTCTCAACCTGGGGTCCAGTTTACCAGCCTTTAGGATTTCCCGGAGTTGAAGGGCAAAAACATCTGGGGACCCTAGCCTGAGAACGACTGATCTAGAGGACCAAAGCTTGCCCATACCTGGGTTAAACAATGCCTTTCTCACACTGCAGTCCTGATGAAGACCACCTTAGGAAAACCTGAGCACTTGCACAGTTTTGTAGAACTGCAGGTGGTCCTAAAGGTACTATATTACTGCATGAGTTTGGTTCAGTTTTGTTTTCTCGTGGATCAAGGGATCTACTTTTGGTTTCTATGGACAAAGGAGGGAGAAAGATGGTTAGCAGTAAAATGTTGGTATTCTATTAAATTTATGCTTCTCTTTATGTTTTCCAACTGCCTTTATAGGAGTTTTACATTTCCTCCAATTGGTTCAGCCTTGTGGTCTGTAATAGGAAAACAATGGGAAACCTTCCAATGTTTTTCATTGTTTGGATAAAACAATTTGGTCTGTGTCTAATGAATGATGCAAATTACTTTCAAGTAATGTTGTACAGACTTCAGGGAGAACAGGGCTTCTTGATGTAGTCTCTTAAGAGTGCTTATATATATGTGAGTTATTTATGGTTTGTACTTGGCTCTAAAATGAACAGTTCAAAGCCAAGATGATAGTGAGTAGGGCTGGGAGGTTTCGTTTCATTAATTCGTAATTCGTTAATAATTCGTTAATTTTTTCAATTACAAAACGATAACGAACCATTCTGGAGCAATTATTAAAAAAAAAGAATTTTCAAAAACGTTTTGTAAATGCTTCGTATTTCGATATTGTATTCGTTTCGTTATTGTTTTGAGGTCGTTTCGTTATTATTTCCGCATGTCTGGGCCAGTTTTATGGTTTAATTAGTGAAAAAAAATTATAATATCACACCAACAGTCAACAACAGAGGGAGAGGGAAGCTTCAGAAGGTTTTGGAGGTTTTTTAGCGTATTTCGCGGTCGCGTCCGCCATTAACGAATCGATTCGTTATTGTTTCGGAAATCGATTCGTTAATTTTTTCCATTTACGAAATTTTGTAAATATCGAACTTTTTAAAAGGAAAATTTTGTAATTATTTTAAATATCGAAACAAAAAAAAACCCCAAAATACAAATCGATTTTAGAAACAAATTTTTCCGTTGTTACCCAGGCCTAATAGTGAGTACTAACAACTCGTCTGCTTCATTGAGAGTGGAAAATAGCTACCCTGTTCATTCACTATACCTGTCAAATTCCCTATCACAACAGGTTTTGTCCCTTCCAACGCTCTTTCACTCAATTTTGTTTTTGTTAATTGCCTTCTAGCCCTCTTCTACACTGCCATATAATTCAGATTATCAAATCAGATAATCCAGTGTTTCTCAAACCTTCCTAATGCCGCGACCCCTTAATACAATTCCTCATGTTGTGGTGACCCCCAACTATAAAATTATTTTCATTGCTACTTCATAATACTGTAATTTTGCTACTATTATGAATTGTAATGTAAATATCTGATATACAGGTGTGTTTTCAGTCACTGGAAATCCCAGCAACTACAACTCCCAAATGACAAAATCAATCCCCCCCCCCAACCCCACTAGTATTCAAATTTGGCAAAATACCCAATAAGACCAAATTTGGCACAAATACCCAATATGCCCACATTTGAATACTGGTGGGGTTGGGGGGGGGATTGATTTTGTCATTTGGGAGTTGTAGTTGGGATTTATAGTTCACCTACAATCAAAAAGCATTCTGAACTCCACCAACGATGGAATTGAACCAACTTGGCACACAGAACTCCCATGACCAAACCAAAACCCTGGAAGGGTTTGGTGGGCATTGACCTTGAGTTTTGGAGTTGTAGTTAACCTACATTCAGAGAGCACTGTGGACTCAAACAATGATGGATCGGGACCAACCTTGGCATGAATACTCAATATGCCCAAATGTGAACACTGGTGGAGTTTGGGGAATATAGACCTTGTCATCTGGGAGTTCCAGTCACTGGGATTTATAGTTCACCTACAAAGAGCATTCTAAACCCCACCAATGATAGAATTGGGCCAAACTTCCCACACAGAACCCCCTGATCAACAGAACATACTATGTTTTCTTATGGTCTTTGGTGACCCCTCTGACACCCCCTTGCTACCCCTCCAGGGGTCCTGACCCCCAGGTTGAGAAACGCTGATATAATCCATATTATAGTGTTCCCTCTCTACTTTGTGGTTCACTTTTTATGGACTCACTGTTTTGTGGGGTTTTGCCTCCCAGTTTATGAATGGTTGCCATTGCCCAGAGCGGCATTCTAATCCCACCTCCTGACAATGATGGAGTTTGGAAGGGGGTTTCACCCTCCCCCTCAGGAGAGAGGCAGCCAATCAAGAGAGATTGTAAAGCAAAGCACAGATAGCTAGCAAAAAAAAAAAAAAATGTGCGGTGCCTTTAAATCTCGTCTCACTTCTGCCTTATCCTCGGAATGCTATATGCATATATAGCATCCCTACTTCGTGGATTTTCACTTTTCGCGGGGTCCTGAAACGTAACACCCGCGAAAAGAGAGGGAACACTATATCTGCATTGAACTGGATTGTATGAGTCTACACCACCACATAATCCAGTTCAAAACAGATAATCCGGATTGTATAAGGCAGTGCAGATGGGGCCTTAGACAACTTTGGTTTGTGGTATGATTAAGAAACCTCCAAATCACCCTTTCCTAACAGCCTTGGTCAGATTTTACACACATAAGTTTGAGTCTCTCCATCTAGAATGAGGTCTTCCTCTTTTCTTACTTTGGCAAGCATTATCTTCCTTTCTAGGGTCTTCTCATGATATGGCCAAAGTATGACACCCTTAGTGTAGACATCTTGGCTTCAAGGGAGAGTTCAACCATAATTTCTTTTATGTCTGTCTTTTTAACAGCCCACAGTATCTGCAGAATCCTGTTAGTCCATCAAAATACTCTTCAGATTTGATTCTGTATGGTCCAGCTGGGCTGAGGCTGTGTATCCATGGCATCGTTCTATTACATTCACATTCTCTCTCTGCCTTTTTTTCATCACAGCATGTTCAAAGGAAAAATTATGCATGGTGACTACTCTTGAAATACAGCCATCAGCCATACGATGCATGTTTTATCCAGAAACACAGACTTGCTCATTTGATCTCCAAGGCCACCACTGTCGACTTTTGCTGAAGGAACCAGCTACATATATCTATCGCAGGCAAGGTATGTTAGATGATGGAAACATTAGAGGGATAGAGCTTGTTTTTTTTCATGCTGTTTAGGGTATTCATTATTTATTTATTTATTTATTTGCTTCATTTCTATACCGCATGTTTCAGCCTGATAAGGCGACTCAATGCGGTTTACACAATGAAAATTATCACAATAACATCAATACTATCACAACAATATCCTAAACAATTAAAACACATCATATACAGCAGCAAAATCAACAACAGCAGAACTTGGAAAAGTTACCTTTTTTGGACAGAATTGCTGTCCAAAAACCACTAACCATGCTTTCTGAGGAATTCTGAAAGCTATCATCTAAAAAGATAATGTTTCCAGAGCCAGAGCAGGAGTAAACAAGAGTAAACAAGAGTGACTGACAATCACACTTTAGAGAAAAATTGGATAAACTCTGGTGAACAAGAGAGGAATATTCCAAAACAGAATGTAGAAATTTGTATTGCTCAAATGAAAATTTGTATTTTGACAATATCTGCACCACACAATTATAAGTCTAATGCCACTTCAACAATTGTGGATTTATCTTTTGGAATCCTGTGACTTGTCATTTCCTGAGGTACATAGAAGTCTGTCAGGGACCTTCCCCTGAATTAAAGCAGGGAATTCAAAATTCCTCACTAAATTACAAGTCCCAAGATTCCAGAGAATGGACACAATATGATAAAATGGTATGAAACTGAGATTATCTGCAGATATACTCTATTCCTTCATTAAATCCAAGGCCACTCTAGAATAGAAATATTCCAGAGTGGTCCCAGAAGTGGCCACATTCACCATCTTCTTCGATCATCTGGAGAGGTCTTGCTCTCGATCCCACCAGCATCGCAGGCGCAATTGGTGGGGACAAGAGAGAGGGCCTTTTCGGTGGTGGCCCCTCGACTCTGGAACTCACTCCCTAAGGACATCAGGCAGGCCCCAACTCTGGCAGTCTTTAGGAGGAGCTTGAAGACGTGGTTGTTCCAGTGTGCCTTCCCAGAATAATGATCCCATAGCACCTTGTACTCTGAAGCACTTTACATTTTAGGTCTGCTTGTATGTTTTCCACAAATGACACTACCACCTTTTCGCCCATGCTCCAGCATTATTTTCAATTTTAATTTTACATTTGACCTTCCCACAGTTTTAATTGTGTGTTGTCTTATAGTTAATGTTACATATCTTATTTTCCATGTTTTATTTTAATTGCTTGCATTGTTGTTATTATTGCTGTATTGTTGTATTTGGGCTCGGCCTCATGTAAGCCGCACCGAGTCCCTTGGGGAGATGGTAGCGGGGTACAAATAAAGTGTTGTTGTTATTATTATTATTATTATTATTATTATTATTATTATTATTATTATTTATTCAACCCACTAGACTGGAGTCTACATGGTTTAACCAGGCTGAGATTCTTTTGGTTTTATCCCTTCGGGCTTTTCCTACCATTTTTTTTTTCAAAACCAGTAGACAACAAATGTGACTTTTCTATTTGAAAAAAGGGGGGCTAGAAAAAGTCAGCATTGGGAGACTTGCAGACTATAAAATTTCCAACTTTCCATTAGAATCATAGAGTGCCTTCAATACCCAACTTAGTTTAAAGAAATATTGAAAAATCGAAAAGGAATCTCAGTAGTTTATCTGAAGTTAAGTATTTCTTGTGTAGGAGACAGCATGGTGTAGTGGATTAAGCATTAAATGATGACTCTAGACACCTGGTTCAACACAACAAATTGTACTTGCGTTCTGATGTGTAAATTTGTACTAGCCTTGTAGAATCCCAGTTGGAAACTGTATTTATTTTGAATTTATAATTAATAAGAGTAAAAAGGTCTTCTCCAAAGCTTGAATTTACAGTAATCTCTCTTTTTTGTATATAGATGGGCTTGTGCCCTTTGCTGAAATAGGTGATGCCCCATCTGTCTCCCTCCAATCACAAGGAACTTTATTGGGCACTTCTCAAGTTATCCGAGTGGGTTCCAACTGGAAGAGAATCACACAGTTCCTTGGGATCCCATATGCAGCACCTCCAGTGGCGGATGGCCGCTTCCATCCACCACAGGCTTTCACTCCAGTAGAAATGTGGAATGCCACCATGATTCGGTAAGAAACATGATGAGAAACACTTCTCTAAGGAGTTATAGGTCCTCTGGCATGCTTCTATAGTCAGCTTCCAGTAGGAATTGACCATAGTTTCTCTGCAGAACTTAGAAATTCCTTGAGAGATTTCCTTTCAGGTTAAAACACAGTGTCTTTTCATTCATGGATTTTCCATTTTTGTGGAAGTCCTGCACCTCTAATTCCAGCGAATATGGAGTGTTGACTATAAGAGAGAAAAAGCAATTGTGTAAATTCATCTTTTAATTTGTCAGTGCCATTTTTATTGGGTGCCAAAACAAGTGTTGATTATTATCTATATTCCCCAGTCTTGTTGCTTTTTGCGCTGTGCAGTTGGATGGCAGATGGCACCCTTGTCTTCAGTGACCCATATTCTCATCCACCTGAGATGCGTGGGTGTATTTGATTCAACCACATCAGATTTGCAATTCACCATAAAACTTGCAACTTGTTTACCCAGGTGCACAGTGAAAAGGGCAAAGCAAACTGTTACTCAGTTATGTAGATGACCATTGTCTACTCTGTATTTCAATTTCAGATGGTGATGACTTTTACTGCTCTTCCCCTGCCATCACTGTGCACCATCGGAAAGCAATGTATGCCTTACTCTTGTGTCACATTAAATAGTCAAAACATATACAGCATAACAATCAATTACACCAGTTGCCAAGAAGGTTCTGGTTTCAGTATTTGCTCTGTAGGATAAGGAATAATTTAGGACTCATAGGGAGGGACTGAAGCATTTGCTGTCTAAATTTAGTCTAGCCCTTTTTAAGTCCTTGATATAATCAAGGCCATCACATCTTTGAAAGGGCTTCTTTAGAATATAACTAGTTATTTATGTCCTCTGGATATTTTTAAAAATATATTATTTTAATTTATTTTCAGTATATTGTTCTATTTACAAAGAAAAAATAGGAATGGAAAAGGAGAAAGATAACTTGATGTTCATGGGTAGAGGCAACTCCAACTTGTGTTCTCAATAATGTTGGAAGATTACTTCCATCAATTGTCATTCAACTTGAATCCTTTGTCAGTTCGATGTACTTTATTCAATTCGTTATTTTTAGATTTTTTTCAAGTAGCCAGTTAATGGTTCCCAATCATTTTTGAAAGTATTTGCATCCTGATTCTGTAGCCATCTTGACACTGTGTCGTCCATTTCGGAGAGTTTCATGAGCTTTGTTTTCCATTCTTCCACTGTTGCTGTTGTCTGTTGTCTCCAATGTTTTGTGCCTCTGGATACTGATGTAAACACCATTCAACTACATACTTAGATGATATGAATATCTTTAACCAAAGCATGGAAATTTTTTTAACAGATCATATAAATATAATCCATAAAACTGTATCCATGGGTGCATCTACACTACAGAATTAGTGCAGTTTATTACCACTTCAGCTGTGGTAGAATGCTATGGAATCACAGGATCTGTAGTTTCACAAGGTCTTCTTTTGCCAAAGAAGGCTGGTTCTCTTCCAATTTGCAGCTCCCAGGATTCCATATCATGGAAACACAGCAGCTAAGTGGTGTCTAACTCAATTATTTCTATAATGTAGATGGGAGATTCCAACCTTTGGTCCTCCAGGTGTTTGGACTTCAGCTCCCAGAAATTCCAGCCAACTTACCAGTTGTTAGGAATTCTGGGAGCTAAAGTTCAAAACATCTGGAGGACCAAAGGTGGGAACCATTGTTGACCACACTCTGATGTTACTTGGTTACTGTGTATACTCAACTATAAGTCTAGTTTTTCAGCCCGCTTTTAGGCTGAGAAAGCTCTCCTCAGCTTATACTTGAGTCAAGGTTTTTTATTATTTTACTCTGTTCTTACTATTATTACATTTATTATTTTACTTTATTAGTCTTTATTACGTTAATTATTTTACTTTATTAGTCTTTATTACATTAAATATTTTACTCTATTATTCTGTTATTATTACATTTTCATTATTTTACTCTATTATTATTATTACATTTATTATTTTACTCTAAAGATACGTAAAGAACTCTTACTCTAAAGATACGTAAGAACGTTAGAATCATGGTTGAATCAGAGTTGGACAGTCTTATCTTAAATTACAGTTTGATATAAATACATTCAAAAACATTTAACCTACTGATGTCTCAATCAATGTAATTTTATTGGTATCTGTTTTTATTTTGAAATTTACCAATAGCTGCTGCATTTCTCACCCTTGACTTATACTCAAGTGGTAAAATGAGGTGCCCCAGCTTATATTTGGGCTGGCTTATACTCAAGTATGTACAGTACATACATCCCAGTTTTCATCTGTAAAATGCTGGAGGCTATGCAAGTGCTGCCTTTAGCTGGCATAAAATGTTAACAGTAACAATACCCATTCATGTGGTGCCTTTTGGACTTCTAGGAATAGTTGCTGGCAACCTGGGGATGGTGAAGGCATATCTTCTTCTGTCAGTGAAGACTGCTTGTATTTGAACATCTACATTCCAGAGAACAGTGTAAGTACTGTATTGATGAAATACATTGGTCATTGACTTACATGTATAGTCTTCCTTTTTCTCAAAGAACTCAAAGTACTGGATATGTTGGGTTGTTGTAGGTTTTTTCGGGCTATATGGTTATAGTCTAGAGGCATTTTCTCCTGACGTTTCGCCTGCATCTATGGCAAGCATTCTCAGAGGTAGTGAGGTCTGTTGGAAGTAGGAAAATGGATATGTTCCTTCCATGAATTTTTGTCCTTATGACAACCTTGGACTGCCTTTCCAAAGCAGCACCAAAAATATGAAAGCACTAGTCATAAAATGTAAACATAGAGGACTGCTTTACCCACAAGTAATATCCAGCCTAGGCCTTACATGGAACTCAAGGGTGTTTTTATACTAATGTTATGTGAGGTTGTACCCATAGTGTAGAGTCATAGCAGTTTGACTCCATCCCCACCAACCACACTTGGGACAAGAGGAGGGCCTCTCCGGTAGATCTAAGAGTCACGCCGGTTAGAGAGGGAGATGCAATCACGGAGATAGGTAGGGCCTGAACCAAACCATTTGTTCTCCTGAGGACAGAGGACTGAAAACACAGATTAGTCTCAGATGATCAATTAATCTGAATAGATGGAAAACCTTGGATACTTATGGATTTCATCAGGAACAGACATCCACAACTCTTCTCAAAATGAGCAGGAGGAGGGATCTCCCAAATACAGACATTTCAGATTGAAATCACACATTAGTATTTAAGGAGGAGTGGAAGAAGAGTTTGGAAAAATTACTATTTGGATCACAAACCCCAAACTCCTCAACCATTATAGCCAGTGGCAATACAGGATGGGTATTCTGGGAGCTTTAATCAAAATACTAACTTTGCAATATTTTACTACTCGCTGAACCACCACGTCAATAAAAATCTGTGCTCCTTCTTAGCTTCTTCAGACTCAGAGAGAAAGAGAGAAGGAAATTTGATCCTGCACATTCCAGTCTTGCTCTTTTGACCTTCAAATTTCTGCTGGTCATATAAAAGAGGGTAGATTAGGAATACAGACATTTATAATGCTGTTTGTGAAAATGTATTGTGATTCCTTGACATTTACTCCAGTTCTCTGAGTTTTGGTTTCTGAAGTGTAGGTGATTTTTCTGTCTTCTATTGCAACAGGGTGGAAATCTACCAGTTCTGGTGTTCTTTCACAATGGTGTGAGTGGCATTGACCAACCAAGAAGGACAATCATTGATGGATCATACTTAGCAGGAGTTGGAAATATTATTGTTGTAACTGCAAATTACAGAGTTGGAGTCTTTGGCTTTCTTAGTACTGGTAAGTCATAGGCGATACTAAAACTAAATCTAGGGTTACGAATCATACTAATCTCCAGATGTTGTTGAACTATAACTCCCAGCATTTCTCACTATTGGCTGTGCTGGCTGGGTCTGCTGGCTCCTCAACACATATGGAGGGCCACATGATTCCTGCCCCTGATATAAGTAATAGAAGAAATGTAAATGTGGGTTCATTTTATGACCTGCATTTTCACATTTTAACTAGAAAAATTGACTTTAAAAAGCTCTAAATAGGTGCAAGTGAACAAATTAACACAAACAAATTTTAGTCTTCTATTTAACAACAAGAGTAAACTACAACAACAACTCCCATGATTCCATATCATCGAGCCATAGCAATTAAAGTGGTGTCAAATTACATTAATTCTACAGTGTAGATGTACGTGAAGACTATTCATAGTTCAGGATCCACTGTGTGTGCAGAAAGAAGCATTTTCTGCAACAGAAATATTATTTTCTTTCTAGAAACTATTTTTTCTGCACAGAAATACTTCCTTTTTGTCCAGAAAATTGTTGTTTCTTGTACAAAAAATACTGTTTCTGTGCAACCCACCCCTCAAACCACATGTGAATTTTGTGTAGAATAATTCTTAAACTGTGAGAATTCTCATTGAATCGTAGTGTTGATCCAGGCCCCTGTTTAATGCAGGATCTCCAAATGGATATCCCCAGAAGGTAGCTAGCCAGCCAATATTTGAAGATATCCAGAGAAGAAGACCTCATAACCTCTCTGGGCAGTTGGTTCCACTACCAAACTGCTCCTATCATTAAACCTGGTCCTAACCTCTTGGGTTAGGACATTCTCTTTCCTTGATAACCCTTTGAGATATTTAAAGAGGATAATCATGTTGTCTTCTCTTCACCAAGGAGAACATGCCCAGCTCCTTTCATCGTATGTTTTGTTCTCCATATCTCTTATCTTCTGCATTGTCTTTCTCTGAATCTTCTCCAACTTGACTATATCAGTCTAGAATTCTCCTCATCAGGATTACCCTATATGTTTGACCATTTCGTGAATATTTTTGAATATTTGTTCCATCTTAATAGTAAAAGATTAAGGAAAAAGGCCCAGGTTGCCATTTGTTTTCACTATCAGAGAACCAAGCATTTTTTAAAATAAAAAATAGTCCCTAAGATCTTTCATCTTTTGGATACCATAAAACTTTTGTTGACTTGACAGTTGTTTACAAGTCTTAAGTGGAAGGACATGTTAAACTTCTGTACTGCAGCTTCTCACTTCTGAAGCCACAGGGGTTATTTTTGGCCCTTTCTTTTCTTCCTTTCTGTCTTGTAAATTGTAAAGAATGTCCTGCCGCATCTATATCTGCTGTTGTGCCATTAATCTACTCCAGCCATGCAGCAGGGGTGTAATATTTTTTGAGCACAAAGACTGCCATATTTTTTACTTTTAGGTTGCATTGTTGCTTTTTACCACCTCATCAGATGAGCAGATGGTAGTGTCCCAGGACGCTTTCACCCTGCCTGAAGGATTGATAGGCTCGCTGCCCATTAGGCAATGCAAGGGAACTTCCTGTGGAAGCCCTAACCCCAACTGTGGGCATGTGTTATGGGGAAAGTGTTGCCAAGAGGGAATTGCATGTGGGGCAACAGATTGGCTCCCTCTTTCCTTCCAGAAGATGAGGTTAATAGAGCCACAGAACTGGATGAGGTCCTATGGGCCATCAAGTACAACCCCCAGCTCAATTAAAGATCTTGAGTTAGAACATTCCTCACAGTTGGCCAGCTTCTTTGAAGACATTCAAAGAAGGAGAGCTGACCAACTCTCTTGGCATGCAGTTCCATTACTAAATCTCTCCTACTATAAACACTCTTGACAGCAAAAGAGAGCATGGAATCAAAGGAAACCTTTTCAGGAAAGTAAATTTCAACTGAATATTAGAAGGAATGTCCTGACTCAAGACGTTCCTTCTAACATTCAGCTGAAACCTGCTCTTCTGTAATTACAACAGGCTTAACCCACCTTCTCTGTGGAAGCCATTGTGATAGTTAAAGAATCCAATTATGCCATCTTTCTGTCTTGTCATCACCAAGGTGAACATGCCCAACTCTCTCAATCTTTTGCCCTTCATTTTATTCTTCAGATCTTATATCATCCTAATTGCCCTTCTTTAAACTTGATTCAACTTGCTTTATATATCCTTCTTAAAAAGAATTTCTCAGAAGCAAAAGGTTTCCTCTTCAATTTTGGGGAATTCAAAAGACTTTCTCATTTCTCCTTTTCATACCAAGTTCCAAGAGCTTTTACTAAGCATGGGCTAATAAGTGAAGCTTCAAAAATGAGCAGACATGGAAGTATGATCTGTATAAGATGCATAGGGACACACACACACACATGCATTCCTCAGTTGAGTAGGCCCCAGAAACTGAACTTCATTGTTATGAGGTCTTTCTCTGCCCTATTTTTCTCCTCTATCTTTTGCAATTCACAGAAATTTACAGTCAGTAATCAGATAGCAAAGATTATTTAACACACAGTGCTCAAAACAATCTTCATTAAATATATCAGGGTGCGTATCTACTTTAAAACATATGCCCAAGAAACTATCCCAGAATTGGTATATCAGGAGAGGTGACTAAAAATATACCCCAAATTTGCACAAAATAATATTCTTGCAGCTGCATGAAAATCTACCTCTTCTTAAATGTACCTATATATAGAATTAAAATCCAAATTGTATACTTTGCCTTAGTGTCTGAGTCTAAAAGCAGTATAATGGCATGGTTACTCCCTGGAATTTGCTTCCCTTATAATAAAAAATACTTCATTACTGCATGATGATAATGATGCTGCCTCTGTTCTGTCACAAAATCCTTTGAAGTATGTTATTTCAGAAAATGTAGGTGGCAGGTAATTCTGTTAGCAATCTAGCCTTGTGGGACTAAAAAAGACTTAAAAGTTTGGCATGTGCTTTCCAGGGAGTACAGTCTGAGTGGACTGTAGTCCGTAGAAGTTGGTTGTGGTGGGTGTTGCTGTTGTTGTTGTTAATTTGACTTTTGGCAGCTCTGTGAATGAGATCACCTAGACCAGTGGTTCTCAACGTTCCTAATGCTGCGACCCCTTAATACAGTTCCTCATGTTGTGGTGACCCCCAACCATAACATTATTTTCATTGCTATTTCACAGCTGTAATTTTGCTACTGTTATGACTCGTCATGTAAATATCTGATATGCAGGATGTATTTTCATTCACTGGACCAAATTTGGCACAAATATGCGACACATCCAAATCTGAATGCCGGTGGGGTTGGGGTGGGATTAATTTTGTCACTTGGGAGTTGTAGTTGCTGGGATATATAGTTCACCTAAAATCAAAGAGCATTCTGAACTCACAACAATGGAATTGAACCAAACTTGGCACACAGAACTCCCATGACCAACAGAAAATACTGGAAGGGTTTGGTGGGCATTGACCTTGAGTTTTGGAGTTGTAGTTCACCTACATCCAGAGAACACTGTGGACTCAAACAATGATGGATCTGGACCAATTGGCACAAATACTCAGTATGCCCAAATATGAATACTGGTGGAGTTTGGGGAAAATAGACCTTGACATTTGGGAGTTGTATTTGCTGGGATTTATAGTTCACCTATAATCAAAGTGCATTCTGAACCCCACCAACGATAAAATTAAGCCAAACTTCACACACATATCCCCAATGACCAACAGAAAATACTGTGTTTTCTGATTGTCTTTGGTGACCCCCCTGACACCCCTCATGACCCCCCCCCCAGGCATCCCACCTCCAGATTGAGAAACATTGACCTAGACACTAACATGCCAGGCCTTGGAAACGCAGGACCATAGTTTCCTTGACTGAGTTTGTAATATAGTCTTCTTTGCCTACACTCTCCCACTTTACCAGCCAATATTGAGTTTTCTAATGATTCATATCATCTTGTGATACTGCTCTGTTTTGGTCATTCCAGCTCCTAGAGAGAATTAGGAGTTGTTTTGCTCTTGTGCCTTTTTGGCCATGCCACCGATAGACATCTTCTATAGCACCACATCACAAATGAATTGATTATCTTCTTTGCAGCTTTCACAATCATACCAAGAAATCAGAAAAATAAAGACAGGGATAATCCTGTCTTTGCTATCAAACTATGTATCTTTCAGGTTATTGTAAGTTTTTGGGGCTATATGACCATGTTCTCAGAAGCATTCTCTCCTGATGTTTCACCTGCATCTATGGCAGGCATCCTCAGAAGTTGTGAGGTCTATTGGAAACTAGGAAGATGCAGGTGAAACGTCAGGAGAGAATGCTTCTAGAACATGGCCATACAGCCAGGTTAAGTAGCAGGATAAGTATTTTATATGATCTGAATTTTGTTTTTTGGAAGGCTCCAGTGTGGCGAGAGGAAATTGGGGGCTTTTGGACCAGGAAGCAGCTCTCAAATGGACACAACAAAATATTGCAAGTTTTGGAGGTGATCCTGATCAAATTGCAGTTGCAGCTGAAGGCAGTGGGGCAGATATCACCAGCATTCACTTGCTTGCAAGCACCGCAGATTCATCACTCTTTAAGCGGATGTTGCTGTTGGTGAGTTTTGGTTTCTTCTAGAAGAGTAACATCTACTGACCTCCTCTTTTTTATTATGATTTATTGTTTGTGGTTTTTTAAACAGTTATGTTACATTTTTTTCAGCATCACCAAAGGTTCATTCATTGGAATGCAATTTATATTTTACAAGGATATTTGTCACATAAATAGGTTTATATACATATTTGTTGTGGTGGTTAGAGTCGTGGTCTGAAATGCAGGTTCTAGTCCAATGATCCATGAAACTCACTGAGCTCCTTAAGATTGTTGCAAGGATAACATGGGGAGTAGTTGAGATAGGTATGCCACGTTGAGTAGACTGGATGAAAGACAGGAAATAATTTACCCATATTCATTGAAGTTGAGATCAAGTTGGGTTGTTGTAGGTTTCTTCGGGCTATATGGCCATGTTCTAGAGTAGTGGTTCTCAACCTGTGGGTTCCCAGGTGTTTTGGCCTACAACTCCCAGAAATCCCAGCCAGTTGACCAGCTGTTAGGATTTCTGGGAGTTGAAGGCCAAAACATCTTGGCATCCACAGGTTGAGAACCACTGTTCTAGAGGCATTCTCTCTTGACGTCTCGCCTGCACCTATGGCAGGCGAAAACCTACAACAACCCAGTGATTCCGGCCATGAAAGCCTTCGACAATACATTGAGATCAAGTTGTTTGTACAGAAGCTGAAAACTCTGGCATTGCTATCAGATAGAGCCTAATCCAAATATAATTAATACAGATCTACATGTAATAACTAAATCTAGGTAGCATTATTTTCAACTGCAGGAAGAATCCACCTTGAAAGAATGCAATAAACCAGAAAACACATTCAAGAACAAATGTGCTAACCTAGAACTCTGTGTTTGTTAGTTTCCTAGTGAATGGGCCATTTTATGTGGGGAGTCTTGATGTGGTTCTTCCATCTGCTATCTCAAGGAAGGAGTCTGTCATTTGGTTTTGCTGAATGTAAAACTCTGCACCTGCTTCCTTAGCAGCCTCTTTTATGTACTGACCTGTTAGGATGAGTTTTCTTTACTACTGTCACCTACCATTACAATGTAATGTCATGTACTTTGGTGCATCTGTTGTATCTCCCAAGTATTCAGACCCCTCCACTTTAGTTTTGGGATGCTCCAGTTTGCATCTTAATGTATAGAAAGGAATCCACTCTGCTCAGGTTTAAAAGATAGCTGCTTACGTTCAGAAATGTGCCCATGACTTAAATCTACTTTGCATCTGGATCAGCATGCCATAAAGACTCTCCAGGGAGTGTACTATTTGGATGGTCTCTGTGGTTGGAGATCAGGAGGCTTTGCGTGTGGTGTGAGAGGCCGGAATGTGGCACGTGATGGGCATGTGGTTTTCGATTATCTGTTGGACTGATCCCTCACTATGAATATTTGGATTGCTGTGGCATGGTGCTCCCTCCTGCCCTCAGTACAGTGTGAATTTTCTGGGACTACATAAGATTTTTCTCATCTTTACCTGCTTTTCCCTTACCTCGTACTGTATCTGAGGCACTAGGGCAATTGACTATGAGTGGCATTGGTAAACAAGCTATCCTTTGGCAGGTCATGAGGAGGCAATTTAGGAACTTGGGGTAAGCCTTGGTGTCCTTTTGGTGAAGGGTACATCTCTGGAATGGCCTCCACTGGCTTTGGGACTCAGGGAAGAGTCTATCCTTGAGACAGACTTTGAGGATTTACTCTCACTTCTAAGATCCTAGAACTTCGGTGGGATGATCCTGATTTTACCTTCCAGTAAGTGGTCAGACTGGAAGAAAGCCAAATATTGGGTTACCCTTGGCTCAGGTGTTTCATCCACTGGAAGGCTGAGGAGGTAGCCTGGAGTAGACATCAGCCTCGGCTGGACTTGCATCAGGTTGTTCCCCTCCTTGCCCCTTTCAGCTCCAATGATCATAAATAGGATATAGGTCAAATAAAGTGGCCCCTATTTTTCCGAGCTCTCTATGTCTGGTCTCATTCTATGGTTCTCAAAAGGATATGGTGATCATGTCAGTAGGGAGATGGATCTATTCTGGCTTTACTCTGAACTTTAATTATGCTATCTATAGTTCTGAACCTATTTCAAATGTCCTAGGTAGATCCAGATTAAAACCTGGGATAGATTTACGAGGGTTGAATGAAAAGTAATGCCTCCACCTTCGTAACTCCTCAACATATGGCAGATACTGGCTTGTTCAGTAGACTCTCCTCTACAGTTCCATTTTGGCAGGAAGCCTTAGCATTGAATGGCTGTGTTGTTAAAGTGCGAAGTATGGAACCCTGCGCAGACGGTTGGTCAATGCGACTTAAGCAATGTGCAGTCATTGAATTCCTGACAGCAGAAGGTGTCACCCCAAAGGAGATTCATCAGAGAATGCAAGCTGTTTATGGTGATTGTGTTGATGTGAGTATTGTGTGTCGTTGGACGAGTAAGTTTAAAGATGTTGAGGTGACACCTGCTGCTGTCAAGAATTCAGTGACTGCACATTGCTTCAGTCACATTGACCGACTGTCTGCACAGGATTCCATACTTCACACTTTAACAACACAACTGTTCAATGCTAAGGCTTCCTGCCAAAATGGAACTGTAGAGGAGAGTCTACTGAACAAACCAGTATCTGCTGCATACCAGTACTACCATCTGTTGAGGTGTTATGAAGGTGGAGGCATTACTTTTTCTTCAACCCTCGTACAACCCCATTGACATCAAAGCCGCTAGTCCCCAGCTCTAGACTAAACACACTGGTTTGGTGGGTTTCAAGTAAGTATAAACTCAACTAGGTCCAGATGATTAAGTGAGTCTACACTAATGTGAGGGAATAGCCATATAAAACCCATGGAAATACATCTATTACAATCTGATTGTCCTTCGGGGGAAGTGCACTTTTTCAAATTCCTCTGAGCAGAATGCTTCTTCTCAATGTGGACAACTGCTCATATTTGCTCCGAACTTTGAAAGTCAGTCTGCAGGTTTTTGTCCTTGATAGTATGGCCTCTCCTGAACCTGGCAATGATAATTATGATATTTAAAAGAGTGCAAAAACAACAGTACTTAAATGTAGAATTTCTCAGTTCCTTGCTTGTCTGAGTCCAATTTTCTCAGGTTCAGTCTTCATGATACATGAAGGTTGGCTGCGATGTGAAGTTGGACCGGTATATGACGGATTGAGTTTTCTTCTTCTTTGTGCTCAAATAAGATGGGTCATTTTCATCTGTTAGGGATAAATAAGTGCTGATGCTGTTCCGGAGTCCAAAGCTGAGTCCGGAGTCCTCCATCCCGAGCATGTCCACAATTTCGTCCTTGTTCACCTTTGATCTTTAAACAAAGAGAGTGGGTGTTAATATTTAATAGGAGGCATTCAGAGGGTATTTAATACAATTGCTTAGCAATTTAGGGTTGTATGAAACCAGTTGTATGAAAAAAGGACTAGGAATGGGGTGTATAAATGGAAATTTGTGAAGCAACTTTGTGTTCATGAGGGCATTTTGGATCACGCCACTCATGTTGGACTGTTAAAAGTACTGTTGTGGTTGTATTATTATTATTATTATTTATTATTATTATTATTATTATTATTATTATGTCCATTCACAGCACTGGAGTAACTGCACAACCTTAGAGCTTTTTCTTCTGGATCAAAATAGGAACTTTTGAGCACAAGGCTGATGCAGGCCAATGGGATTTTGGCCTGTATCAATAGGAGCATCGTGTCTAGATCTAGGGAAGTAATGCTACCCCTCTATTCTGCTTTGGTTAGACCACATCTGGAATATTGTGTCGAATTCTGGGCACCACAATTGAAGAGAGATATTGACAAGCTGGAATGTGTCCAGAGGAGGGTGACTAAAATGATCAAGGGTCTGGAGAACAAGCCCTATGAGGAGCGGCTTAAGGAGCTGGGCATGTTTAACCTGAAGAAGAGAAGGCTGAGAGGAGATATGATAGCCATGTATAAATATGTGAGAGGAAGCCACAGGGAGGAGGAAGCAAGCTTGTTTTCTGCTTCCCTGGAGACTAGGATGTGAAATAATGGCTTCAAACTACAAGAGAGGAGATTCCATCTGAACATGAGGAAGAACTTCCTGACTGTGAGAGCCGTTCAGCAGTTGAACTCTCTGCCCCGGAGTGTGGTGGAGGCTCCTTCTTTGGAAGCTTTTAAGCAGAGGCTGGATAGCCAACTCTTTGATTTTATGATTCTATGATTCAAGGTAATGGTACCTCTGATTATCTTTCCACTTGAAGGTTTTCTTGCGCATCACGACGGGAGGCTCTTGATTTCTTCCTTCGTTGTGAATAATGTGTTGGGTGAGGCAGGGAGTTGTGAGCACACAGCAGAGACCATCGGCTACCTCTGAAGAAGAAAACAAGCCCAACATGAATTGCAAGCCAAAGTTTGATCTTAATCTTTCCTCCTTCCCTCTCTTCCTTTCTGTCTCTTTCTTACATTTCTATTCAGTGACTCCCAAGACAGTTTGCAGTGTAACTATAGCAATGTTCCTGTATGCTTGGTCACATTTCTCTGATGTATTTACTTATTTCTAAAAATCAAATTAGATCTATACACACAAGGAAATAAATTCAGAAATATATATCTCAGGTCCCATATACACTGCCATATAATCCAGTTTCTGGATCCAGATTATCTGCTTTGAACTGGATTATTTGGAAACATAGATTCATATAATTCAGTTCAAACCAGATAATCTGGATTCAGAAACTGGATTATATGGCTATGTAGATCCAGCCTAAGTTGCATTGTCTCACATTGGGAGGAAGCAAGCTTTTCTTTCATAGAATCAAAGAATCAAAGAGTTGGAAGAAACCTCATGGGCCATCCAGTCCAACCCCATTCTGCCAAGAAGCAGGAATATTGCATCAAATCACCCCTGACAGATGGCCATCCAGCCTCTGTTTAAAAGCTTCCAAAGAAGGAGCCTCCACCACACTCTGGGGCAGAGAGTTCCACTGCTGAATGGCTCTCACAGTCAGGAAGTTCTTCCTCATGTTCAGATGGAATCTCCTCTCTTGTAGTTTGAAGCCATTGTTCCATCCTAGTCTCCAAGGAAGCAGAAAACAAGCTTGCTCCCTCCTCCCTGTGGTTTCCTCTCACATATTTATACATGGCTATCATATCTCCTCTCAGCCTTCTCTTCTTCAGGCTAAACATGCCCAGCTCCTTAAGCCGCTCCTCATAGGGCTTGTTCTCCAGACCCTTGATCATTTTAGTGCCCTCATGCTTTCTTTTCTTTTTCCCATAAGGACATTTATTTATTTATTTATTTACAGTATTTATATTCTGCCCTTCTCACCCCGCAGGCGACTCAGGGTGGATGACAATGTACATATACAAGGCAAACATTCAGTGCCATAGACACACAACATATATAGACAGACACACACAGAGAGAGGCTATTTAACATTCCAGCTTTCATGAGGGTATTGCTGGAGATGTTTGTGATGTCGTAAATTAGTTAAATTAGCCTCCCCACATAAGCGATACCTACATTCTCAGCCTGAGGGCTGAGAAGGGCAGTATGCAAATACAGTAAATAAATAAATTAAATAATTTCCTAATTGACAGATGCAACTGTCTTTTGGGCTGCAAAGGTTGACAGCAAGCTACACAAAGGTCAGAAGCTCACTCCGACCCGGGCTGGCTTCGAACTCATGACTTTCATTAGTGATCTTAATGCAGCTGACTCCCAGCTGGGCTTCACATCAAGGTAGTAGAAAGGATATTTATAGGCACACATAAAAGTCTAGAAAAGTCCCTGTATTTATTATAGGGTTGTAATGGTCCTAAAAAGCACCACCAGACCCCTAAAAAGGAGAGGAGGAAATAAACTTACTTTGCAGGAAAATTCTATTTATGGATTTTGTATCCACAGATTCCACCATCTACTATTTGAAAATATTTTTAAAAATTCCAAAAAGCAAACCTCAAAATTTGCCATTTCATTTTCCTACATCGCGATAGGACCTGAGCCTATTCTACTCTATTGGTTCTGCAACCAAACCTTAGTGGATACGAAAGGCCCACCATCCAATACAATTTGAAATAAATGGTTTGTCATGTACTCTAAAAAGTGATTCATGTAGAAAGCAAATAGTCAAGGCTGATGTGTGAATCTAAAAGTGAGACCAGAAATAGACTAATTCACGTCTCTCATCACTTGTGGTTATTGCTTTAGGCGCTTCAGTGAATTTTCGTTAGAGAAGGGTGAAAATTTCATTTCACTTCAGTTTTCATTCAAAGTCATGTAAATTCTCGAAATCCAAGTGTGGCAGGAGGCATACTAAGAGATTTGCCCATGAAATGATTCTAATGTGCTTTGAAGAAAATCATGGGAATTGCTAAGTACAATTTTAGTCAGCTGTCAGCAGCCCTGGGGGGAAAAAAACTAAAGGTATAGGATAAGGTAAAGGTTTCCCCCTGGCATTAAGTCAAGTTGAGTCCAACTCTGGAGTGTGGTGCTCATCTCCATTTCTAAGCTGGCATTGTCCGTAGACACCTCCAAGGTCATGTGGCTGGCATGACTGCATGGAGTCCTGTTACTTTCCTGCTGAATCAGTACCTATTGATCTCACAGTTTTTGAACTCCTATGTTGGTAGAAGCTGGGGCTAACAATGGGAGCTCATCCCATCCCACAGATTCGAACCGCCCACCTTCCAGTCAGCAAGTTCTGCAACTTAGCAATTTAACCCACTGCTCAGGATAAGTTATTCAAAATGCTTGGGGCCATAACTGTTTTGGATTCTGGGTGTGTCTAGCTTTAGGAATACCTGCATTTTCATATATACTATATGCATAATAAGATAGGACCCAAGTCTAGACAAGAAATGCATCCGTGTTTCTTATACACCATGCCTAAATGTAATTTTATACACAATATGTATTTTTTGCAAGAAGCAACATTTGCAAACATTGAAAGAGGTCCTTATTTTAGCTACCCAGGTGAGGATTTTAGGATATTTTGCAATAGTTCAGATTTTGGAATTTTGGATAAGCTTGGACTAAAATTCCCGAAGGTGTAGCTCTCATACAGGTATCAAGGAAGGAGACAAAAGCCTGATTCTTTCACCACTAAGTTTTCTCCCAAATCCCCAATCTGAGAGCTGTTCAGCAGTGGAACTCACTGCCCCAGCATATGGTAGAGGCTCTTTCTTTGGAGGTTTTAAAACAGAAGCTGGATGGCCATCTGTCAGGGGTGATTTGAATACAATTTTTCTGCTTCTTGGCAGGGGGTTGGACTGGATGGCCCATGAGGTCTCTTCCAAGTCTATGATATTATGATTCTTTCACAATTGACACACAGTTCCATCATGTATGATACTATGATTCTTTCTTTTTTTTTTTTTTTGTAAAGCACTGGACCATTTCTAATTACAGTAGATTCTCACTTAACCAGCACACAAGCAGATTGGTAGATGCTGGTTCTGGTTGCTTGAGAGTTACTATTAAAAATTGGCTTAACCTAATACTATACAGCATACTATACCAGGCATGGGCAAACTCTGGCCCTCCAGGTGTTTTGGACTTCAACTCCCACCATTCCTAACAGCCGGTTGGAGTTGAAGTCCAAAACACCTGGAGGGCAGAAGTTTGCACATGCCTATAATATACCATAAATTCTGTATATTTTGTTTTCATGTCAGGAGCAACTTGAGAAACTGCAAGTCGCTTCTGGTGTGGGAGTATTGGCCGTCTGCAAGGACGTTGCCCAGGGCTGTATTGACGTGGTATTAATATTAAAATACAGCAATTAAAAGCAAATAAAGACAAATATAGACAAACTTAATTTAAGGTAACATACCAACATACAGTTTTACTGTATTATAAAAATAGCTTTGTAGATGCAGTATGTACTTTTACTTAAATGGTAGTACTATCTCTTCAATTCTTTTGCCGGTTGCTTGAGAGTTTCAGTTGCTTGAGTTTGGTGTAATATTATCTCAACTTCCTTCTTTATCAAACTGTAGTGTGTGTTGCAATATTGTTATGGGGTTGCATGTGTAAACAGCTAGCAGTGCAAAACTGGATAGAACATGAGCTGTTGGTCATCACATGCCTTCCACTTTTTCACATCCTCTATTGCAGATTTGCAACAACATATGCTTTTGAAACTTGTGGTTGCAAAATAAATTATTATATCGTCTGGGCTGCTTGTCCATTCTCAAAGAGTATCTAAATATGAATAACGGCTGTTGATATTGATCTGCTGTTGCGTTGCAAGGCTGTGCTCCATTTCCCTTCCTGCAAATTTACGAAAAGCTGTGAATTCTCAGAAACAGCTTTGCTAATAGGCAAAAACTGTGGCTTCACACATTTAAAACATGTGAGATATTTGGTATTGTCAAATGGCAGCACTGAGTTTCCTCTCCAGATGTTCTGTGGAAGGCCACTTCTTTCTTTCTTTTCTTATTTTTGTCATGTCAGGAACAACTTGAGAAACTGCAAGTTGCTTCTGGTGTGAGATAATTGTCTGTCTGCAAGGACGTTGCCCAGGGAATGCCCAGATGTTTTATCATCCTTGTAGGAGGCTTCTCTCATGTCCCCGCATAAGGAGCTGGAGCTGATAGAGGGAGCTCATCCGCTCTATCCCCGGGTTCGAACTTGCGACCTGTCGGGCTTCAGTCCTGCCGGCACGGGCTTAACCCACTGTGCCACCGGGGGATCCATAAAAAAAAAACCCTAAAACTAAAAGCTGTGAATTCTCAGAAACAGCTTTGCTAATAGGCAAAAGCTGTGGCTTCACACCGTTTAAAACATGTGAGCTATTTGGTATTAATTGTCAAATGGCAGCACTGAGTTTTCTCTCCAGATGTTCTGTGGAAGGCCGCTTCTGATTTGCATCCACCTTCTGTCCTCTGCTTTGTTCCGAAATGTATCTGTGAGTGCATCTACACAATAGAATTAATGCAGTTTGACACCACTTTAACTGCTGTGAATAAGTGCCATAGAATTCTGGGAGTTGTAGTTTTGCACGCTGGTGCTTCACCAAATTGCAACTTCCAGGATAATAATAAATAATAATAAACTTTATTTATACCCCGCTACCATCTCCCCAGGGGACTCGGTGCGGCTTACATGAAGCCGAGCCCAGAATACAACAATACAAGCAATTAAAATCAAACAAAACAATAAAACAATAACATGTCATATCACTGCGCCATGGCAGTCAAAGTGGTGTCAAGCTGCATTAATTTTACAATGTTCTGATTGATTGCAGCAGGAAGGCTTTCTAAATTCTTAATCATCAGCAGTGTGATGCTATATCCATATCTAATTTTCTGTGTAATGTTGGAATAAGTAAACAAGTAAATCTAAAAAAAACAAATTCTTTGTAACAGCAACATATTGAAGCTGCCAATAAGGAAAACAAACAAAGCAGAAGAACTTACCAAATTTTCACAGATTTAAAACCTGGCTCTCCATTTTGGAAAAAAAATATCATGTGTCTTTTCTTATTTTCATATTTGCACATTAGGATAGTAAATAGGGCACATGAAGGGAATTAGTTGGGAAAATGATGGCAAACTAGCATGGTTTTCCTGGCTGATGAACATAAAATTAGCCCAATTTAGGAAGGAACAAATACTATGTTTTTTATGCATGTTTCCAGAGAGTGGAATCCCATTTGGGACATGGCCTTTGAAAAGCACCTCCAAAGAAGAGTTGAATGTATCATGAAGATGATCCTTTGCGCATATTGCAATTCAAAACATTAGAATAAAGCTCATGCAGAATGGTATTAGGAATGGCAGTAAAGAGATCTGTTCAAAATATGAAAGGAAACGTGTTTTGATTTGGATTTCCTCTTACCTGAGTAGTGATTTACGAGGTCCTCAAGGCACTGAAAGGTTTGCCGCTGAGAGATATAATACCAATTGTTTGGCAGGCGAAAGATCCTGTAATGTTTCACATGAATGTGACGGACTGATAAGGAATATAGACCTGGAAAAACAGAAGTATCATGTTGTTATTATTATTGTTGTTATTATATTTATTTATACCCTGCTTTATCTCTCCTTCAGGAGACTTAAAGCAGCTTAACATAAAAGCATCAGCATACAAATATGCAAACATTAAAATGGGATTAAGTATAAATAGTTTTTAAAAACCATTAAATAAAATGTTAAATGAAATAGTTCTTCCAGGGAAATAATAGTCCACCTCCTGAATACTGAAAAACATTTGGACAATTGCTTGGACCAGTGGTTCCCAACTGTTGTCCATGGACCACCAGTACTCTGCCAGAACGAAAATATGGTCTGCGGCCTCACCACTACTAAACTGTTGCCTCTAAACCACTTGGCAATGAGAGCGACTGGTTTCGCAAAACCCTCTTATAGTGCCGAGGCAAGGGGATGTCTGGAGGGGAGAGGCTGCCTACCAACAAAAGATTACTACTACCACATGGCTCTAGATTATTAAATATGGTTTTCTGCTGGTGAGCAGATGGCATATGTTCTGTATCAGAATCTAGAGCTGATGTAGTCTATCCAATGCAATTCTCTGAATCAGCACCCCAAATAACCAAACTGAATCTAAAGTTGACCAGAAACTGATTCATAATCCTTTTGCTACTAATGTTGGAGAGTGGTCCCTGGTCAAAGTGATCAATGGTCAAAGTAGACCCTGGTCAAAAAAAGGTTGGGAACCACTGGCTTAGACCCACTGAATAACTTTCCAAACCTGTTCCATCAATAGTCTTTTTTGGGTTTTTTGGGGCTGCCACGAACTATGTTGAATTGGTTGAAACTCTATGGGATATTCATTAAAAAACTGGGTTGTTGTAGGTTTTTTCGGGCTATATGGCCATGTTCTAGAGGCATTCTCTCCTGACGTTTCGCCTGCATCTATGGCAAGCATCCTCAGAGGTAGTGAGGTCTGTTGGAACTAGGAAAATGGGTTTATATATCTGTGGAATGACCAGGGTGGGACAAAGGACTTTTGTTTGCTGGAGCTAGGTGTGAATGTTTCAACTGACCACCTTGATTAGCATTTGATGGCCTGGCAGTGCCTGGGGGAATCTTTTGTTGAGAGGTGATTAGATGTCTTTGTTTGTTTCCTCTCTGTTGTTTTGCTGTTGTAATTTTTGAGTTTTTTTAAATACTGATAGCCAGATTTTGTTCATTTTCATGGTTTCCTCCTTTCTGTTGAAATTGTCCACATGCTTGTGGATTTCAATGGCTTCTCTGTGTAGTCTGACATGGTGGTTATGAGAGTGGTCCAGCATTTCCGTGTTCTCAAATAATATGCTGTGTGCTGCAAAATGTTCCGCAAAAACACAGTTTTTTCAGTTTTTCAGTTCTCCATGTTTTTATGATAGAACCAATTAGGAAGTGACATTTATAACCCAGGAACAAAAAGATCACATTACATAGTGCAGTAGGCCATTGTGTTAGGGTGGATATAGACAGGCCCTTTAGGGCTCTCGAGACAACGTTCTGGACAATCCCAAATTAATTCGCCATAAGCCAGGAAAACCCTGGTTTGTGGCAAATTAATTTATAATGGAAGGCACAGGATAAACCCATTACTTTCTCCTAGCATGTCATTTCTACTCATCAGGAGAGCTACCACAGCTCTCCAACAGACACTGTGTAAGTACTTTATTTTTAAAAGGGGGGAGCTAGGGCTTTCTAGGAGGGTGGTAGAGTCTTCAGGTATTCTCCCAGGCCAATGCCAAAAGAACATCTGGACACCCACCTAGAAAGTGCACACTTTCTGGAGTGGGTGTGGACAGGGCTCCAGGAGCATCCATGGATGCTCCTGGGATAAAGCCCTGTCTGGAAAGGCCCTGAGTAGACAGCTCCACGCTGAAATCCCATATCAAACCATCCTTTCACGGGCAAAAGGGGGACTTTTCTGTAAAAATTATGAATTTTCATCCACTCTTTGTAAATTTTTTAAACAGGCCTTAAAAGGAAATGTCAGGGACAGAAATAGTGAAAGTAAGAACAAGAAGCTCTTTTGTTCTCACCTTTTGTTGTTTCGCTCTTTCTAATCATGAAAGATCCAATTCTGGTATTAGGAAGGAGCAGAAGTTCTTCAGCTTTGTCTCTTCCTAAACCTTCAAACAACCAACTGCAGAAGAAATGGCAGGGATAGTGTACATGGAAAAAAAAGATTAGAATCTTACAAATGAAAAGAGAAATTGGTTTCATCTACTGGAGTACAGATTTAGCAAGGAAAAACACAGAAAGCAGAAGTATTTCTTTGGAAGGACTTCTGCTTTCTGCAAAACTAGCCTTCCCCACTTCTCACTGGAAAAATGCTAATGAATGAATGACTGGAGAGAGGCGGAAAACTTTAGGTTGTATGTGTGTATGAATTTAAGACAAGCCAACCCTAAGTACAAGACACCACTCATGTCCTGCAAGGTTGAACCCGAGTCACAAGTGGAGGAAGGCACGTTTTGTCATTACTTAACGTTATCTCCAAAAGTTGTAATTCACTTTTTGGATAAGAGCCCTTAATTTACACCAGACAAAGTTTGTTGGGGTAAGGATTGCGTATCCCTTGGAATATCGTTGAACAGCACTAACTGATGTCATCCACAATGATAAATGTGGAGATGTAGTTCAGCAACATCTGGAAAGCCATGCCATCCCTGTTCTAAACCTAGTTGTTAGTCTCAAATAGAGTAAACTATTGAATCAGTTGCTGAATTGTAAGTCAACATTCATGAAAGCATAGCCTCCAGCTATCCTTTTGTCAAGTATAGTACCTGTTGATCTCCAGTCATCCCACTTATTTTAAAATATTCCACTTTTTCTCTTCTCCTCCCGCTTCCCTCTTGACCTTCCATTTGCTTAAATTGAAGCAAGCATCCAAATACGTATTGGGAAATGTCTTACCCATGATAAACTTTTGCTACGCATTTTTCTGGAATATAATTTTCATGACCTGTAGTGAGGGATCGGGCTCTCCACCAGCCTCCTTCACTGAAAAAGCAAACAAACCAAGTGAACAAATGGTTTAAATGGCAACAAAATGGGTATTATTACAATTGTTGATAACATTTGGTTGTTATTATGTGCTATCAAGTTGCCACTGGCTTATGACGATCCTCTTTTAGGGGTTCCTATTGCTTTCTCTGAAGCTGACCAAGTGTGATTTGCCCAAAGTAACTTTGTAGGTTCCTATGGCAAAGCTCCCACTGTGGCACAGTGGTTTAAACTGCTGAGATGCTGAACTTGCTGACTGAAAGGTTGGCAGTTTAAATCTGGGGAGAGGGGTGAGCTCCCATTATTAGCCCCAGCTTCTGCCAACCTAGCAGTTCGAAAACATGTAAATGTGAGTAGATCAATAGGTACAGCTTTGGTAACAGCGTTCCATGCAGTCATACCAGCCACATGACTTTGGAGGTGTCTACAGACGCCAGCTCTTCAGCTTAAAAATGGAGATGAGAACCACCACCCCCCCCCCCCCAGAGTCATAGAGTCATAGACACATTCAAGTCCATGTGGCTGGCATGACTGCATGGAGCACCATGTTTTCGAACTGCTAGGTTGGCAGTAGCTGGGGCTAACAGTGGGAGCTCACCCCACTTCCTGGATTTGAACAGGTGACCTTTTGGTCAGCAAGTTCGGCAGCTCAGCGGTTTAACCCACTGTGCCAATGGGAGCTTCAAGATTGACTTATACACAAGTATATATTGTATATAAGAGCTTTAAAGATAGCTTCCACAGCATTGAAAGCCAAACGCACGTTACGTCATAAGAGAGAAATATAATGGAAAGACTGAAAGGACGGGGCCATCATGACCTCCCTAGAGAAGAGAGTTAAAGGGTTGAGGAGACTTCCTCTTTCCAGATGAGACGTCTTTGTTTCTTCTCATGGTATGTTGACTTCTCATTCAGCTGTTCGATCTGTAGAGAATTGCCTGACACAACTCTATCATGAGTTTAGTTTGGGCGAGATTTTGGGAAGAATGTGACCATTTTGGAATCATAATAGATGTATTAAAGGTCTTTAGCCTTTTCTGCCAAAGAGTGCTAGGGCCTCATCAAACTACAAATCCTGGGATTCCATAGCATTGAGCTATGTCAGTTTTAGTCAATAGTTCTCAACCTGTGGGTCCCCAGATGTTTTGGCTGACAACTCCCAGAAATCCCAGCCAGTTTACCAGCTGTTAGTATTTCTGGAAGTTGAAGGTCAAAATATCTGGGGACCCACGGGTTGAGAACCACTGATTTAAGTAATGCCCTCTGACTTTGATATCTACTAATAGAGTACACATACATGGCAGAATTCTATTCTATGTAATGGTTGCTTACTCACTTTCTGTCTCTCTTTAGATGGGCTGCAAGAGACTATTTTCCTTCCCTTTGCATCCTACTCAATGCAAAACCTCATTCTTCAGAGTTGCCAAGCTCTTGGAAGGTTTGCTCCTCCTCTGGGAAGGAGAAGTTAATTGAGAGGAAGAAAACATGGCTGATCTTTGTCTGAATTGGAGAAAAAGACTGGAATACTCCTTCTGGGAGTGCAAATTCATTTCTTCCCCTCCTCATGAGCTCTGATCAGCTATATCTTCCTCCTCTGAACTGACTCTCCCTTCCTTTCTTCCCTCCCCATCAAGGCGTTTCTGGGGGACCCTCCAATTGCTTGACTGCTAAATAGCTTGGATTTGGAAATGTGTGTTTGTCCCATTCCGGTACGCCCACTTGATGTAGGATCTTGGCCGTACATTGATATATTCTTAGGCTTCAATCCAGTTGTTCCTCCAAACCAGAGCAGATTCGGTGGATCAGATGGCAAATCAAAACTTAAGCACCAAAGGCAAACATGTGGGCTTGTGTTGGTCATTCCTCACCATTGCTGGCTTGGGATGAATCTAAATAGCTTTATTATAACTATCTCTGAACTATCAGATTTAGGCTTATACTATGGACAGCCAGTGTTGTGGATACCTAGCATAACTAAAGGGAAGCTGGTGCAACTGCTCTATGATTTTCCCTTTCTGAACACTCCTAATATCATAAACACGTATTTCAAAAACCTATCAGATAGCATCCTAATTAATGAAAAATCATCAGTATTTCAAACAAAGGGTGCATTCTGCACTGTAGAATTAATTAAGCTTGATACAGTTTTAACTGCTATGGCTCAATGTAGTTGTAGTTTGGTGAGGCACTAGCAATCTTTGTGCAAAAAGACTAAATATCCTTTAAACCCAAAACTCCCATCAGTCCATAGCATTGAGCCATGACAGTTAAAACTGGATTAATTTTTCTGTGTAGATTCCGGCCATGAAAGCCTTCAACAATCAATTGATAAACTTAAGAGTTTAATATTTCTAAAACACAGTCAAGCCTATGGATCATTGAGCTAAGCAACAATGGTCGACATCATCACATACAGCTATAGTAAACTACTCCAGGTCAAAGGCCTGTTTAAATAGCTATGTCTTTAGGCTAGACCAGAAGGTATGGAGAGTTGGGGCTAATCTAATCTCTCTTGGGAGGGCATTCCAGAGTTGGGGAGCCACCACCAAGAAGGCCCTCTCGCTCGTCCCCACCAATCACGGTGGTGGGACTGAGAGAAGGGCTTCCTCAGCAGATCTCAGAGCCTGCACTGTTTCATAGAAGGAGATGCAGTCTTGAAGACAGGTTGAACCCGAAGCATGTAGGGCTTTATAGACACTTTGAATTGGGCCCGGAAACTAGTTGGGAGCATGTGGAGCTGCTTTAATAGGGGTGTGAGAAGCTACCTATAGCTAGCCTCAGTTAATTCCTCTGCAGTTATTTTATTTGGCCTTTCTGCTTATGTTGATTTCTCTTGGCCCATGTTGACATTTGAGGGCAGAAGGCAGCTCTTTGTATGGGGACCTGAGATCAGAGAGTGCATCTCATGAGACCTTTCCTCTTTGGGCATGTGTTCAAATCCAAATTTGTGACACAAGGCAAGTAAAAGTACTACAGGTAGCTCATGCAGTAACTTTCATAAAGAATTTCCACTTGTCCCAGAAGGAGCTTGGTACTGTAAATCTGTTAAAGCTCTTGAATTGGTTCACATGTGCAGGGCAGGCTAATGCCGTATGCTTCCTCTTACTCTCTTGGATGTACTTTTTCCAGAAGCGTGCAGAGGAAAAGCCACAGCCCACAACTGTAAAACATGCCACGGAAATAATGGGAATGGGTCTTTGAAAGTTCTCTACAGCCCAATTAATGTTGATGATTCTCACATGAACTTGGACATGAGGGCAGGTCATCTGGGGATAGATCACATGTTGGAAATGCGTGGTTGGGGTTTGCACATATTAAAATAGGAATAGAGAGATGGTAGATCTCTGGGTGTTGGGCTGGCAAAGTTTTCTACTCTGTCTTTACAATGGTAGCAGAAACCAATAAAATAACATAAAATAGGAATACATGGTAAGAACTAAGCAGAGACTGGACATATGGATAAAATAATTGTTCTTGTTGTGAGACTTCACATTATTTTTAATTTATGGAAATCCAATGATGGGTTTTCTTGGCAGAATTTGTTTGGAGGGGTTTGCTCTTGTCTTTGTTCGAGGCTGAGAGAGTGTGAATTACTTAAGGCTACCCAGTAGGTTTCCATGGGTGAATAAGGATTCAGACACTGTGTAGTGGTTTGTACATTGAATATATTCAAACCACTATACAATGCTTGCTCTGCAAGCATTGTATGCTCATTGGCATTAAAGGCACATTTATTAACACAAAAGTGCCATGTTCCTTCATTCTTAATGGCCGGCTCATAGGGTTGTGATCATTTCTTTATTATTTTCTCAAAGTGAGCAACAAGTATTTTTCTTACTTGAATACAGTGCATTTTCCAAAATCTGCACAAGACTTATTCTGCACAAAATTCACACATTGTTCTCTCTCTCTCTCTCTTGCAAATTTCTGGTTTTTCCAAATTTTGTGCAAAACAGTCCAATTGATTATTCAATGGGTACTTATGAAAATGATTGAGAAAGCCAGTTTTTAACAGCTAAAAGTGTCCTGGAATGTGTCCAGAGGAGGGCAATTAACAATTATAAAGTGTCTGGAGAACAAGCCCCATGAGGAGCGGCTTAAAGAGCTGGGTATGTTTAGCCTGCAGAAGAGAAGGCTAAGAGGAGACATGATGAGGGCCATGTATAAATATGTGAGGGGAAGTCATAGGGAGGGGGGAGCAGGCTTGTTTTCTGCCACCCTGGAGACGAGGAAGCAGAACAATGGCTTCAAACTACAAGAAAGGAGATTCCACCTGAATATGAGGAATAACTTCCTGACTGTGAGAGCAATTCAGCAGTGGAACTCTCTGCCCTGGAGTGTGGTAGAGGCTCCTTCTTTGGAGGCTTTTAAACAGAGGCTGGATGGCCATCTGTTGGGGGTGCTTTGAATGCAATTTCCCTGCTTCTTGGCAGCGGGTTGGACTGGATGGCCCATGAGGTCTCTTCCAACTCTATGATGCTATGTCCTTAAAGCTGAAATCTTTTCTAAAATTCCTTGCACCTGATATAACACAATCAGGAGTAAGGCAGGGTTTGTTGATTGGTTTGTTCAGCAAAATAAGAATTATACCCTTCTGAGGTTTTCCTGAATTGACCAAACATTATTGGAGCCTACATTATTGGAGTTCCATGTGGCATATAAAGCTTATACTGCAACATACGTATTATATAGAATCCTAAGAGTTGGAATTCTTCAGTTGAGAATTTAGAAATGTGAAGTAAAACTTCAGGAAAAGTAACCAAGGCAATGTGAACACTGTAAATCCAGTGTTTTATGGATTTCAGTGTCTTAGCCTGTGTTAATGGTAGAAATTAGAGACAGAGAGAAAATTCATGGAGAGAATTCTTATTTGGCAAAAAGGTGCCCTTATTTTATTCTCTCCACCTTGTAGCCACATCCCTGAGTAAAATCTCCTGAGTTATGTTAAACTAGCAAAAATAAATTTTACATGGTTCTCAGAATTGAGTTGTTTTGAAGTTGATGCAAGCTACTGTTTACAAAGAGCATGATATTTTTTTTCAAAAAACAGGTGTATACTTACTCTGAAATCACACGTAGTTTCTCCCCAACTTGAAAAATAGGCTGGCTTATATCAGGGGTGGGATAGTCATAGAGAACAGCGAGAAAATCACTCCTGTGACCTGAAAAGTGAATGAGTGAGAGTATGCCATGAATGAGCATAAACAGAGAAAATAGGAAGGCTTTGCTTAGGCATATACAAATCCTTTGGAATATAATACTTATAAAATATAAAATCATAGAATCATAGAATCAAAGAGTTGGAAGAGACCTCATGGGCCATCCAGTCCAACCCCCTGCCAAGAAGCAGGAATATTGCATTCAAATCACCCCTGACAGATAGCCATCCAGCCTCTGTTTAAAAGCTTCCAAAGAAGGAACCTCCACCACACTCCAGGGCAGAGAGATGGAGTCTCATCATAGTAGTGGTCATCTGCCCTGGTTCCAACTGAAACACTGTCTTGGTCTGCTAATTGAGAGTCATGTGACTTTCTTTATGAGCAACACACACAGTATATCTTTATCTCACCATTGGTATAAAAATAGTTTTAGATCTTAAAAATAGTGTAAGAGGGAAACTTAAAACCACAGGAAGTCAGAAAAATCAAGGTCACTTTGCTGTTCAGTTGAGTTGTTAGCTTGGTTTCCTTGCTAAGCATGACTGGTTTCATCTGCCATTAGCATAGAAAACATGGGCGGCTCCTTTTGTCAGAAAGATGGAAAATATGTTTTTTGTACTGCTTGTTCATGCAAATGGAGAAGTGATATCAGAAGTGACATCAGAAGAAGATATAATAACTTTGAGCTTTATATGCAGACACGATTTGGTTCCATCTGTGATGTATCTCTTTACACATCTCTCTCCATTGTGGATCTTTCCATTTGTATGGTATTACATCTGGCTAGGGGTGATGGGAATTCCAGTCCAACATCTTCAGAGGGTTCCAGGCTGGGGGAACGCTGATTTATAGTCTCTCATGTCAGAGGATTGCAAAAATGGAGATCTGCTGTCATTTGGTGCAGTTCTGATTTGGACTGGTTCATGTACTCGGTAGGTAACATAGCTCTGTGGTAGAATGACCTAAATTCATATCTTGCCTTTTCTGGTTTGAAAAATATCAGGTGATAGTAATAATGTGGGACAAGATACCTTACCCAAGACCTGCTCATAGTAAACACTGGCCTTGCACAAGATTTTTGAGCATGTCTAGGTGACATTTACTGTGGTCTATAGCAGAGGTGAAGAATCTTTGGCCTGCCAAGTGTTTTAGACCACATGTCCTATATGTACCATTGGCCATGTTGGATGGGCAACTGGGAAGTGAGGTCCAAAATATTTGAAGGGACAAGGTTTCCCCATCTGATTAGACAGGCTGTTTGGAGTAGATATGGGAATCTAAGGCCTATTCCTGCCATGTGTGAAGCCTACATTATTGGAGTTCCATGTGGCATATGAAGCTCATACTGCAACATATGTATTATATAGAATCATAAGAGTTGGAAGTGACCACGACGGCCATCCAGCCCATGTGGCCCATTTCCTGGGATGGTCAGGTGTCCTATGTTACTTAACCTACTTCTTGAGATATTCCTACTCTGAATTGTAGCTGCTAGAACAGTGGCTCCCAACATGTGATCCATGGAGCACTAGTGGTCCGCAAGAACGAAACTACTGGATGGCATATGCTCTGTATCAGAAATCAGAGCTGATATGGTATATCCAATGCAATTTTCTGTAACAGCACCCCAAATAACCAACCAAATCTAAAGGGGAAAAGGAAAGGTCCTGAGGCTGTTAGGAATTGTGGTAGTTGAAGTCCAAAATACCTGCAGGGCCAAAGTTTGCCCATGCCTGGTCTATATTGTAGAATTAATGCAGTTCAACAGCACTTTAATTGTCATGCATCCCCCCTGCCAGGCTTTTCCAGCTTTGCAGAAGGTGGATGGACTATAGATGGCCCACATGATTCAATGGCTCAGTGCAATCCTGGCATTTGTAGTTTGGTAAGGCACTAGCACTCTTTGCAGAGAAGGCTAAAGATCTTGAAAACAATAACTCCCATGATTCCATAAGATTGAGCTATGGCAAATAAAGTGATGTGAAACTGCATTAATTCTACAGTGTAGATTAACTGGAGCCTAGTTCTGGTTTGCATCCTAGGACTAAGAAAGAAACTTGGCTACTGACTGAATTCAACCATATAATTTAGGAAGAAAGAAAATCTTTGTTGTTTTAGTTAAACACATAGTGTAAAATGGAAACCGATAATTGTCCTAGAAAATGTTACCATACATAACTATTCAAAATGATTCTCATTAGACAGGATGTGAAACAGCAGACTATGCCATACATGTATAATGCATTAGAGATGGAAACCAAGCAGAAATGTTTCAAGCTGAGATGTAAGAAGGGGAGAACATATGAATGATGGTGGGGGAAAGTCTGTGGGTACTTTATGAATCCTGTATAGTCTACAACACAACATTTTGTTCGAAACCTCTTTTGAAAAAAGCCTTCTAAAAATAATACCAAGGAGTGCATAATGGGTTGAATGTTAGACATTATGTACATGCACAATGGGTTGAATGTTAGACTATGAGTTTGGAGACCAGGATTTAATTCTCCACTTGGCTATGGAAATCCACTGAGTGACCTTGGACAAGTCACGCACACCCAGCTCCAGAAAACTGAGTGATAGGTTTTCCTTTAGGATTGCCATGTGTGACTTGTAGGCACATAACAGATCCCATTCAGGGCTAGTCCAAGAAGATTTGCTGTCTGAAGTAATACGAAAGCTGGTGCTCCCTCCCCATTCATGGTGGCTAGAAGGTTGTGTTTTTGTTTGTTTTTTGTCATGTCAGGAGTGACTTGAGAAACTGCAGGTCACTTCTGGTGTGAGAGAATTGGCCGTCTGCAAAGACATTGCCCAGGAGACGCCCAGATGATTTGATGTTTTTATCATCCTTGTGGGAGGCTTCTCTCATGTCCCCGCATGAGGAGCTCGAGCTGATAGAGGGAGCTCATCTGCCTCTCCCCGGATTTGAACCTGTGACCTGTCGGTCTTCAGTCCTACCGGCACCCAGGTTTAACCCACTGCGCCACCGGAGGCTCTGGCTAGAAGGTGAATGAATGCATTCCAGGTTTTAATATGGGGTTGAAATGAGTTATCCAAGGTCCTGAACCGTATCCACCAAACAGCTTCAGTCCCACGGATAGTTCCATTAATGCTATCCAAAAAACAGAGCACAGAGCTTTAATGCCAAACTGACATCAGAGCCAACAGTTGCTATTACTTTAATAGCATTCATGAGGTGTGCTCCATTGTACCAAAAATAGCAAACTAGTGCTATTGTCCCCCAACATCTGACACCAGAGGAAATTGACTAACTCAATGGAATGGAGCTGGCTCTGCTCCATCTGCAGTCATTTGAGTATAGGACAATACAGGCAATCCTAATGCAACTGTGTAAGTACAACCTCTGTATCTATGGGGAATATGTTCTCAGACTTCATGTGGATATGTAAAACCATAGATAACGCTATTGAAATCCCAAGAATACCATACAGTCATCCTGGAGGACCTTGGAAAGTCTTCTGTTGGAATTAGTTTGTTGAATATAACTAAATGAAACCACAGATACTGGCCCTCAAAACTCCTAACACAGGCATGGGCAAACTTCAGCTCTCCGGGTGATTTGGACTTGAACTTTTACAATTCCTAACAGCCGATAGGAATTGTGGGAGTTGAAGTACCAAACACCCGGAGGACCAGAGTTTGCCCATGCCTGACCTAACGTATTAGAAAATGCAAATAATAGATATTGAAACAGAAAGGGTGCGGAAGGCTAGAATGTGGAAGCAATGAGTTTCAAGTGATGCATTTAGCTTTCATTAATCTTTCTTTGTTTCAGTAATGAAGATGAAAGTGGTGTAATGAACAATATTATCTTATTGGCGAAAAATGTAATATTTTCTAGTTACATTTAAGACTTGCACTTAAAGGAAATTCTCAGGTTTCATTACGTCCTTTAAACAAGCTTAATGTAAGCTCCCACCCAGAAAGTAATTAAAAATGAGAAATAATGAAAGAAACATGCAGCTGACTGCTGTGTGATATGCATTAAATTCAAGACCCGATATGGATTTAAGACCTGATGATCGAGCTTTTCATTCCAAAATGTTCTTGCTAGCTAGGAACAACCAAGAAGTGCATTTGAGTGCCATGGAGTGCCACAGACAGGCAACTAAGTAGGGACGAAGGGAAATTGGTAGTTGGTTTGATATTTTTAAAATAATTTACCAGCTGCCATATATAGAATCATGGAATAATAGAATCCTAGAATTGAAAGAGACATTGTGGGCCATCCAGTCCAACCTCTTGCCAAGAAGCAGGAAAACTGCATTCAAAACATCCCCTACAGATGGCCACCCTGCCTCTGCTTAAAAGCCTTCAAAGAAGGAGCCTCCACCACACTCTGGGTCAGAGAGTTCCACTGCTGAACTGCTTTCACAGTTAGGAAGTTCTTCCTCATGTTCAGGTGGAATCTCCTTTCCTGTAGTTTGAAGCCATTGTTCCACGTCCTAGTCTCCAGGGCAGCAGAAAACAAGCTCGCTTCCTCCTCCCTATGACTTCCTCTCACATATTTATACACGGCCCTCATCATGTCTCCTCTCAGTCTTCTCTTCTTCAGGCTAAACATGCCCAGCTCTTTAAGCCGCTCCTCATAGGGCTTGTTCTTCAGACCCTTGATCGTTTGAGTCACCCTCCTCTGGACACATTCCTACTTGTCAAGATCTCCCTTCAATTGTGGTGCCCAGAATTGGACACAGTGTAATTCCAGGTGTGGTCTGACCAAGGCAGAATAGAGGGGTAGCATGACTTCCCTGGATCTAGACACTAGACTCCTATTTATGCAGGCCAAAATCCTATTGGCGTTTTTAGCTGTTACATCTCATTGTTGGCTCATGTTCACCTTCCTGTCTACGAGAACTCCAAGATCTTTTTCACACATATTGCTGTTGAGCCAGGTGTCCCCCATTCTGTATCTCAGCATTTCATTTTTTCTGCCTTAGTATTTAAGATAGAAAAAATAGCTTTTTAGGTGAAATATGCTATCATGAGGCAACTGAATATGAGGGTTTGGAACAGCCTTCTGAACCATTGAGTCCAACCCTACTCAATGAAAGATCTTTAAAATCTCCCCAGCAAGTAGCTCCATCCTCTGTTTGGAAGATGACAAGAGGAGGAGATCCTATAATCTCTGGATATCTTAAAATACAAACAAACAGGTTTTCTCCTAGGTTTCAACTTTACTGGTGGCCATGTCTCCACATTCATCACTAGGTATAATGCTTCAACAATTTCTACTGAATCTACAATACAGCAACAATAATCTTCCATATTTCACTAACTATTGGGCCAGTTTAGGGTAGGGGTCGTCAAACTAAGGCCCGGGGGCCGGATACGGCCCTCCAAGGTCATTTACCTGGCACTCACTCAGGGTCAATCTAAGTCTGAAATGACTTGAAAGCACACAACAACAACAACAACAACTCTATCTCATCAATGTATTGTCGAAGGCTTTCATGGCTGGAATCACTAGGTTCTTGTGGGTTTTTTTGGGCTATAGAGCCATGTTCTAGAGGCATTTCTCCTGACGTTTCGCCTGCATCTATGGCAAGCATCCTCAGAGGTAGTGAGGTCTGTTGGAATTAGGACAATGGGTTTATATATCTGTGGAATGGCTGGGGTGGGGCAAGGAGCTCTTCCCTGCTGCAGTTAGGTGTGAATGTTTCAGCTGATCACCTTCATTAGCATTTGAAGGCCTGCCTGAGCCTGGGAAAATCTCTTTGGAGAATTGATTAGATGTGCCTGATTGTTTACTCTCTCTTGTTTTGCTGTTGTAATTTTAGAGTTTTTTAATACTGGTAGCCAGATTTTGTTCATTTTCATGGTTTCTTCCTTTCTGTTGAAATTGTCCACATGCTTGTGGATTTCAATGGCTTCTCTGTGTAGTCTGACATGGTGGTTGTAGGTGTGGTCCAGCACTTCTCTGTTCTCAAATAATATGCTGTGTCCAGGCTGGTTCATCAGATGCTCTGCTATGGCTGACTTCTCTGGTTGAAGTAGTCTGCAGTGCCTTTCTATCTCATCAGCCAAAAGTATTTCCCATTGAAATACTAATACGTTTATATTTGTTAAAAATGTTCTTCATTTTAATTATTGTATTGTTTTTAAGTGTTTTGCACTACAAATAAGATATGTGCAGTGTGCATAGGAATTCATTCATGTCTTTTCCAAATTATAATCCGGCCCTCCAACAGTTTGAGGGACTGTAACCTGGCCCTCTGTTTAAAAAGTTTGAGGACCCTTGGTTTAGGGGCTTAAGTACCAAAATATATCCCAGCACAGTTGTGGCATTATCAGTACAAGAGCCATTATTTCTGCCTTATTATATTCATATTGCCAAAATTAGTACCTTTCCAAATATGGGTTTCTCCTTTTTTCACCAAGATTGCCCAATAAACGCTTACTAATAAACATCTCTATACTGTAAAATCAATGTAGTTTGGCACCACTGTCATGGTTCAATGTAAAGGAATTCTGGAAGTTGTAGTTTTATGAAGTCTTTAGCCTTCTTTGCCAAAGAGTGCTACAACTCCTAGGATTCTACAAAACTGAGAACTGAGCCATGACAGTTGAAGTGGTGCCATACCGCATTAATTCTACAGTGAAGATACACCTTAAACTTAAAGCATGCCTGTTTTCCCCTCATATTTGTTACTTCCATTCTCAAACTGCAAATTTTAAAAAATTGCACACCTGTGTTCAGCTACATATTTTAAAAGCCTCTGATCTGAATTGAAGCACACTTACCAGTTTGCCAGGCTGCACTGTTGATCTGAGGTGTGGTTTTCACTGTCTTTATAGTGTTTCCCATTGTTTGTCTTCTCTTTTCTTCCTTCAAAGCGATAACCTGTGAACTAACCAAGACAGATGCAGAAGATTCAGTCAGGCACCTGTTCTAGTAACTCAGGTGGAACAGCTCAGTTCAATAAGGAGACAAAGAAAAACAAACCTATATTTCATTGTATTTTTTTTTTAAAAAAATGGATAGTTTTCATGTATCTGAGAAGTACATGTGTTTGTTAATTTTTTTCTCCATCTCCATCATATCACAACTGGGGCAGCAAACCGCAGACAGAAAAGACGTTGCTAAGAATTGCTGTGTGAAGCAGTATTTTCCATTGAAGCTTGGTTAGCATAATAGGAAGTGTTATGTACGTTCTTGGGTGTGTGTGTGTGTGTTATCATGGGTTTTATAAACACACACATCATAATGCACTCAAGAGATTTCAAGCACCAGGAACAAGAATGCATAGTAACCATCTATGTGCATCCTCAGTATACACACAAGTTTGTGAACAGAGGAAAATATATATGCCACCATTTCCTCCAGTCTGTATTTTTGCCCATTGTGCTTTGCCCTGTTCTCCTCCATTTTAATTATATGCTGAAATATAGGCAAATGCAGAGAATTCACTATTATACATACCCGACATTGCTCATGTTTGAATTCTGTTTGTGGCACTGTCTTTTCTTACTCCATTTTTGTCAAAAATATTCTCCCTTTTCCTTTCTTGTTTGCTTGCTTGCTTCCTGTATTTTCTTTGCTTTTTCTCATATGCTTTCCCCCTATTTTTTATTTTCCTCCTTTTTCTATCCCCCCTTACTCTATCCCTTCTTCCCTTTTTTCTCTTTTCCTCCCTTCTCCTCATCCTTTTCCCCCTTTCCTTTTTCTTCCTTCCATCTTTCTTCCCACCTCCTTCCTTTCTCCTTTTCTTTTTTCCCTTATTTTTCTCTTTTTTTTCTTCCTCCCTTTCCCTTATACCCATATCACTTTTCTTTCCCATTGACATCACAGAGGGCCACTTCACCTAGCAGCAGCTTTTGTGGTACAAACATGCATGTTTTGACTTTTGTATAACTGTGCTAACTATCCCCTGCCATGCGTTGCTGTGGCCCAGTCTCTGTATATGTGTTTTATGTGTGTATATGTGTGTGTATATATTTGCGTATGTGTGTGTGTATATATGGATTTGCTCATGTGTTGTAATGTAAAAAACTTTTTTGGCTTTTTAAGTCTCTTCTGCTATGTTTTTCAGTGTTTTTATGAGTGATGGCCACTTGTTAGCCTGATAGGTGTATTGTCTCCAAATTTGGTGTCAATTTGTCCAGTGGTTTTTGAGTTATGTTAATCCCACAAACGTACATTACATTTTTATTTATATAGATAGGTTTAATTTATTTTTATCCCACCTTTCTCCTAATATAGGGACTCAAGGGAGCTAATAACAAATATGATGTCAAAATCAAAATAGGCTCACGTCACTTCTCATGAGCATTTGGCCCACAATCAGCATATACTTTCAGTGTTCTCCAAAAGACAGCTATGGGAAAGCCAAATCTATTGCTTTAGACCACACAAGTACTTATTCTGAGTTAAGAGACAAACTAGTCCAATACAAGACCTGGTAGAATAGATCTGGCATAACTATTTTGTGGTCGTCTGGTTTTTTAAGTGCACTGGAGCGTTCAATACAAAATATTCTGCTCTTTGTGATGGCTCAAGATCAGAGCTGCTTTATCCATAGCTACTTTAGGCACTATGACTAGGACCTGAGAAAATGTTAGGACCAATGTAAACAGTATTAACCAAAGAAATTATAGGAATTGGGAAGAAAAACAAAAAAATCAAAATAAAGATAGTATGGATGTCCATCCACATTTTGAAGTCCACATAGATTGGCATGATGTTTTTTGGCATGTTGTCTGTCTCCTTCCTAGTGGTACATCAGAATAAGGATGGGGGTCATACACAAGAGTATGGAAAACTATGAAAGCCTTGATGTGGCCCCACAGACTATGCTTTCCTATTTCCATCACATCATTGTTGATATACTTTAGACATCAATACAGGCTCATGCCAAATCAGATATTTTGTTAACTAAGATTAGTATCACCAACTATGTTGGGCAGCAGCAGTGCAGTCTATTCTGCTGAGAGTTCCTACCAGTTGGTATCTAATGCAGCATCTACACCAGGCATGGGCCAACTTGGGCCCTCCAGGTGTTTTGGACTTCAACTCCCACAATTCCTAACAGCCTTTTCCTTTTCTCCCTCAGCTACTTATGTGGCAAACATGAATTATTTTTTTTAGAAGCACCATTATATAACTTTTTAACTTTTCAAAAACAACATGGCAATTGGGTTGCTGTGAGTTTTCCAGGCTGTATGTCGATGTTCCAGAAGCATTCTCTCCTGATGTTTCGCCTGCATCTATGGCAGGCATCCTCAGAGGTTGTGAGGTCCGAACATAGCAGTTCTTAGTGAGGATCTCTCTCTCTCCTCCTCCTCCTTTTCACTTCCAAATTACTGTTTCATTTCTTTAAAAAAATGTAATTTTGTCCAGAAGTGCAATGAAGATGAGGAAATGGTGCTGAAGTGGGCACATTCCGTGCAAAGAAAGAGAAATGGAAAAGGAAGAAAACGTTACAGAGGGAAAGTTAAATCAAGGATTAATCAAACAGCTCTGCTAGGTTTTTATGTGTGAAATATCTACATTTCTTTGGAATGCATTCACACTTTCTTGATTCAATTTAGAGAATGAAAATAAGTAATTCTGTGTGTAGGTACTACACACATTCATACATTTATGACTTAAAAATATTTATTATAGGATGACATTCAAAATATGGTGCATTGGCTTTTCTTCCCATTCTGCAACAGGGATAGTGTGGAGCTCTCAGTGGTGCAATGGGTTACACCCTTGTGCTGGAAGGACTAAAGGCCGACAGATCAGAGTTTCAAATCCGGGGAGAGTGTGGATGAGCTCCCTCTGTCAGCTCCAGCTCCCCATGTGGGGACATGAGAGAAGCTTCCCACAAGGATGGTAAAACATCAAAAACATCCGGGTGTCCCCTGGGCAGCGTCCTTGCAGACGGCCAATTCTCTCATACCAGAAGCAACTTGCAGTTTCTCAAGTCGCTCCTGACACGAAAAAAACAAAACATGGATAGAGTAGACACGCAAACAAACAAATATCACCTAGAAATAATCTGTAGATACTTCTGAAAACAATAAGCCATTTGTTGTTGTTGTTGTTGTTGTTGTTGTATGCAAATTCACCCAAGTTTGGCTTCTGGGGACAAGGTTTTGTAGGTTTTATTTTTTAATATAATAATAGGTTGTTGTATGTTTTTTGGGCTGCATGGCCATTTTTAGAAGCATTCTCTCCTGACGTTTCACCTGCATCTATGGCAGGCATCCTCAGAGGACCTCACAACTTCTGAGGATGCCTGCCATAGATGCAGGCAAATCATCAGGAGAGAATGCTTCTAGAATATGGCCATATAGCCCGATAAACCTGAAACAACCCAATGATTCCAGACATGAAAAGCTTCGACAATACAATATAATAATACTAATAATGGATTTTTTAAAAAATCAAAAGTGACGCTTCTGACACTAGACTGGTTCAGTGATCCTAGGAACCATAATTCAAATAAAGTAACTTTGTAATGCTCTGGGTTGTGAGTTTTTTGGGCTTTATGACCATGTTCCAGAAGCATTATTTCCTGATGTTTCACCTGCATCTATGGCAGGCATCCTCAGAGGTTCTGAGGTCTATTTTCCCATATTCCTAGTTTCCAACAGACCTCACAACCTCTGCGGATGCCTGCCATAGATGCAGGCAAAATGTCAGGAGAGAATGCTTCTGGAACATGGCCATACAGCCCGGAAAACTCACAACAATGCATTGATTCCAGCCATGAAAGCCTTTGGCAATACTATGTAATGCTCTGTCACTTTAAAAACAAACATTACTACTTTTATCGTTGAATAGCCATAGGAACAAATCAGGCATAGCAGAATTAACCGTGTTTGCTATTCAAACACTGTTTTGCTGATTTTGTTCATTTCTTAAGTGGCTCAATATTTAGAAAAGCCTTTTGGACAAATCAGGACTGATGAACAAGATGTCCTAAGTTGACCCTCAACTCACACATGTAGCTCAGTGTATCAAGTATTGGGGCAGGAAGATTTAGGCATATAGGAAGTTGCTTTTGACTGTGTCAGAGAACTGATCCATCTTTCCCAGTGTTGTTAACTCTTTCTGATGCTCATTCATTCATGAAATATCTATCCCACTGTTTCACCAGCACAGGACTGAAATCAGCACACTTTAAAAAAAAAAAAGCACAACACAGCTAAAATACACAATGCAAAAGTTAAAATACAACCATAAGGAGGAGGGAGTAGTCTTGTTTTCTGCCACCATGGACACTAGGACTCAGAGCAATGGGTTCAAATTACAGTAAAGGAGGTTCCACTTGAACATTAGGAAGAACTTCCTGACTGTAAGAAGAGCTGTTCAACAGTGGAACTCTCTGCCTCAAAGTCTGGTGGAAGCTCCTTTGTAGGCTTTGAAACAGAGGCAGGATGGCCATCTGTCAGGGGTGCTTTGATTGTGCTTTTCCTGCATGGCAGAATGGAGTTGGATTGGATGGCTTGTGTGGTCTCTTCCACCTCTATGATTCTAAATACTACAAATCAAAATTCTTTTTTAAAATGACAAGTGAAAATGTGAGTGAAAAGCAATTTTAAAAACAGATGTAAAATACAATGAAAGAGAAACACAACGTTCCACTAAAAGTTCCATTACTTAAAACCTATGAAAAACCAAGTAAATAACAAGGCTCTAATCTGCCAGCCCCCTGTGGCACAGTGGGTTAAACCCCTGTGCTGGCAGGACTGAAGACTGACAGGTTGCAGGTTCGAATCCGGGGAGAGGCGGATGAGCTCCCTCTATCAGCTCCAGCTCCTCATGCGGGGACATGAGAGAAGCCTCCCAAGGATGATAAAAACATCAAATCATCCGGGCATCCCCTGGACAACATCCTTGCAGATGGCCAATTCTCTCACACCAGAAGCGACTTGCAGTTTCTCAAGTTACTCCTGACACGACAAAAAAAATCTGCCAGCAATAAACAGCAATGACGGTGGCAAGTAGACCTTCCGAGGAAGGGTCTGTCACTGCTTTTGAACCACCACTAAGGCCCCTTCTACACTGCCATATAATCCAGATCAAAGCAGAAAATCTGGATTTTATATGGCAGTAGAGAAGAGGCCAAGAAAGCTCTTTCCTTTGACCCCAATAAGCCTGGGTGGAGCTGAGTAAAAGTACATTTTAGAGTTTGGGTAAGCTCACCAGTAGCCAAGAAATTCTCCAAAGTTTTAAGACAGATTCTTTCCTGGCCCTAGAGCTCTTTAGCCATTTCTAAATACAAACCATGTTTGAATCCATATGCATCCAAAATCCAATGAGATTGTATATTCTGGGTGGTAGGGTGACATCTCTTCATAGGTTTATGAGATGTTTTGATGGACAACTTTGTTTCTACCTCTGTTTGGTATGTATAGAACCCACTAATAACAATTTGGTGGAATCTGCCCTGTTTTATTGGGTCCCATAAGTCCTAGCAAACACACCCAAAGAGACGATTTGAACACTAAGCACCATTCGGAGCATCATACACCCCTTATCATTTAAATCAGTGATTCCCAACCTGTGGTCTGTGGACCATTAGTGGTCCGCAAGAACTAAAATATGGTCCGTAGCCTCACCGTTAATACACCGTTCCAACAAGAACAACTAGTCTCGCGAAACCCTCTTATAGTGCCAAGGCTTATTAAATGTGGTTTTCTGTGGGCGAGCAGATGGTGACGACTGGATGGCATATGTTCTGTATCAGAAATTAGAGCTGATGTGGTCTACCTGATGCAATTTTCTGAGTCAGCATCCCAAATAACCAAACCTAATCTAAAGTTGACCAAAAACTGATTTGTAACCCTTTTAGTACTAATATTGGAGAGTGATCCCTGGTCAAAGTGGTTCCTGGTCAAGTGGTAAAAAAAATGGTTGGGAACCACTGATTTAAATCAACAGTGGTGACTTTCCCAACCCCACCTCTCTCTCTCTCTCATCCACACACACACAAACAAGCCCTAGGCCTCTTATGCCATGAAACTCTTCTTTGCACCAACCTGAAGGGCGACTAGATCTTGATATATTTTTTTTCTGAGTTAAACATGCCCAGCTTCACTTGACTGAGAAAGAGATCTTGGTGCTGAAAATGCAATGAGGGAATGTAATTGCCATTACAGTAATCCTTACCTTTTGTTCAGATGCCAAGCATAGTGTCCTCACTTTCTTCTCACCACTGGGATCCAACTTTTCTATGGAATGGAGATACTTCAGGACAAGGAGAGCAACTTTAGGTCGAATGTTTGCAGCTGTATGCAATGAAACTTCGGGGAAGTTCAGCCTATCATGTAGTGCAGGGACTTGCTAAACAAGCCACACACATACTTCCTCTCTCAGAAATGAGGAAGGGCTTGACGCACTTGCATAAGCCAAGGTTCCTGTTGCTGGTGTCTTAGTTGGGGTGGGGGCAAGTTTGTGATGAGCTGCTTTCATATCAGGGTTTGGGTGACTGCAGCAGAAACCGTAGATGTAAGCAGAAACCACAAAGTCCTCCTGTGCAGAGGCCACTGTGACGATTTCTAGGTGGCTTTTGCTGTTGGTGGTATTAGTGTATTTATAGCATTTGTAGCCTCAACTTCCACCCAAGATCTCGAGTAGCATTGGATGCCATGCTGTGTCATGATGCTAAGTCATAGCCAATTCTAAGAGCCAAGAGTGTGGGCAGTACATGGGAGAGTCAGCAGATATGCATATATTCTGGATTTTAGTATCCATTTTAATGGGACCATCCAAGGTGCTGTACTTATTTTGGGGATAGGACACAGCATTTTGGATGGCTTCTTTAACAGGTGGACGAAAACCTATTGCTATTTTACCAACACATTGAACACTTGATGGATTGTTTTTCCTTGTTACAACTATCAGTTCTGATTCAATATAAAAGGAAACCAAAAACTATCCATAACTCAACAGGAACTGGTGATAGATGCCTCTAAATGAGACCAAGTGAGTTTGATGGCTTCTCAGGTTGCATCCTTCAATTTCAAGCAGAAGAAAGAGTGTACTGTTGTAATGTAATTTTTGTTACACCTTCACATTTAGTAGTAAACTACTTGTAGTTAGGTTCACTTCAAGTAAAACTTTGATGCCACCTCTAGCAAGTTCTAGCAGGCATCAGACACCATAGAATGCTTATGGGAAAGACAAGTAAAACAGATAACTAGATGTTTTGTTTTCTTGTGGTGGAGTTGTTTTGTCACTTAGTTGTTTTCCAGGCCCTGATACATCCTTCTGTGTGAACATAGTAGGTGAAACTATTTCTTGGTGTTTGCCTTGTTTCTTACTTATGGTGACCCTATCACAGGCTTATTTTTTAGGCAGATTTGTTCAGAAGGGACTCATTTTTGTCCCCCTTTGAGACATAAGAGAATTTTACTTGCTCGATTCATAACCCAGTGCTCACCCTACTACATTAACCTGCCTCTCAAAAACCACTAACTGCAATATCAACCACTTTGTTCCAAAAAGCTTCCTTCTGATTTGAAGAGTCATTTCCTCTTCTTGGTAGCGATAGCGGAAGAAAAGCAGATTTGAGAGTTTGAAAGTCATGCCACTGATCAGAAGTAACAAGTGAATAGTTACATAGGAAAGAATATGACTCTAACTGTGTTGGGAAGTCTAGTAGGAAGAACTCGAGTAAAGAACAGAGTGGAATCCAGCCATCACTACTTCATCTTTGGGGTCATTTCCCTCATGAACACTGAATCATGACATTATTTGCCAATTTGGGCATCTGAATGTTGAAACGTGACAGGAAAGTTGAGCATGGGGACAGTGGCCCAGAGTTACTTAACCTGAGTGGTGCAATACATATTCAGGAAGGGAGAATTGATCTGGAAATTCTTTGTTTCCTGTCACTTTGAGGTCAAGCAATTTTCCAACTGCTATAGTAGGGCATCTCCTCTCTGTCTTTTCGTAACTCACAAATACACACCCATATGCTGTAAGGAAGTCAACACTGACACTGAAATTCAACACTGTCTGAGCTCTGCAAGTGCAGTATTTTTCGAATGAAGCAGAGAGTGTTTGAGGACCGGGACATCCATAGGGATACCAAGGTGCTTGTTTATAAAGCTATTGTCCTCCCAACCCTGTGGACAGTCTACAGACGTCACATGCAACTCCTGGAATGATTTCATTAGCGCTGCCTCCGAAAAATCCTGCAAATCTCTTGGGAAGAGAAGTGGACAAATGTCAGCATGCTGGAAGAAGCAAAGACCACCAGCATTGAAGGGATGGTCCTCCGCCATCAACTCCGCTGGACTGACCATGTTGTCTGGATGCCCGACCACCGTCTCCCAAAGCAGTTGCTCTACTCCGAACTCAAGAATGGAAAACGGAATGTTGGAGGACAAGAAAAGAGATTTAAAGATGGGCTCAAAGCCAACCTCAAAACTCCGGCATAGATACTGAGAACTGGGAAGCCCTGGCCCTTGAGCGACCAGTTGGAGGTTGGCTGTGACCAGCAGTGCTGCAGAATTTGAAGAGGCACGAATGGAGGGTGAAAGAGAGAAACGTGCCAAGAGGAAGGCGTGTCAAGCCAACCCCGACTGGGACCGCCTTCCACCTGGAAACCAATGCCATCACTGTGGGAGAAGATGCAGATCAAGAATAGGGCTCCACAGTCACCTATGGACCCTCCGCCAGGATACTACACTTGGAGGACCATCATCCTCGAACTATGAGGGATGACCTAAGTATTCCTTGTTGATACACTACATGAAACAATTGCTACCGGGCACAATTCAAGGTGCTGGCTTTAGCCTATAAAGCCCTACACGGTTCCGGCCCCACTTACCTCTCCGAACGCATCTCCACCTACGAACCGGCGAGGACGTTAAGATCGTCCGGGGAGGCCCTGCTCTCGGTCCCGCCAGCGTCACAAGTGCGGCTGGCGGGGACGAGGGACAGGGCCTTCTCGGTGGTGGCCCCTCGGCTATGGAATGCCCTACCAGTGGAGATCAGGCAGGCCCCCTCGCTATTGGCGTTTAGGAGGCGGGTTAAGACGTGGCTCTTCGAACAGGCGTTCGGATAAGCATGCAATAACATCTGACTCAGAAAGACGGCATACTGAACAAGGAATGGTAAAACGACTGTGAGATTTGGATCTGATTCTATTCGAGGCGTGATGACGTTATGTGTATTGTTTGTGGTTGTTTGTCACATATATTGTTCAATGTTGCACATTTTACTGTAAACCGCTTAGAGTCGCCGTTGGCTGATATTTGCGGTATACAAAAGGAGTAAATAAATAAATAAATAAATAATGCTTCCAATGAGAAAGGGTGTTACTATGTCAACACTCCTGGGCCAGCATTGCACAATATTCTGCATGTGGAACTATGTTCCAGCTAGTGATCCATCAACTCCTGGATATTAGGGCTGGGCGGTTTCGTTTCGTTAATTCGTAATTCGTTAATAATTCGTTAATTTTTTCAATTACAAAATGATAACGAACCATTCTGGAGCAATTATTAAAAAAAAACGAATTTTCAAAAACGTTTTGTAAATGCTTCGTATTTCGATATTGTATTCGTTTCGTTATTGTTTTGAGGTCGTTTCGTTATTATTTCCGCATGTCTGGGCCAGTTTTATGGTTTAATTAGTGAAAAAAAATTATAATATAACACCAACAGTCAACAACAGAGGGAGAGGGAAGCTTCAGAAGGTTTTGGAGGTTTTTTAGCGTATTTCGCGGTCGCGTCCGCCATTAACGAATCGATTCGTTATTGTTTCGGAAATCGATTCGTTAATTTTTTACCATTTACGAAATTTCGTAAATATCGAACTTTTTAAAAGGAAAATTTTGTAATTATTTTAAATATTGAAACAAAAAAACCACCCAAATACAAATCGATTTTAGAAACAAATTTTTCCGTTGTTACCCAGGCCTACTGGATATACCATAAAGTCACTATAGGTGCACCCCCCTTCCCCAAAGCTATTGTATGTCTGTCTGGTGAGAGCAATGCAAGATCAGAGAAGTGGCTGATTATATCCCTGTAATGAGATGCTAAATGATTGCATTATTTGCTGCAGTTGACCATTTATTTTATCAGATCTCACCTGGAATACTATGTCCAATTCTGGAAACCTAGTTCAAGGAGGATGTGGACAAGTTGAGTCTCTTTTGGGAGAGATAAAGTGAGACTAGGACAGGGAACAATAGATTTAAACTGTAGGGAAAGAGGTTAGAACTGAATGTTGAGAAGGACCTCCTGACAGTACAAGCTGTTTGACAGTGAAACATGCTGCTTTGGAGTGTGGTGAAGTATCCCTTTCTGGAAGTTTTCAAACAGAGGCTAGATGGATATCTGTTGTGATCACTTTAATTGTTCCTATGTGGTAGAATTGGGTTAGAGAAGATGGCTATTCTAGTACCTGTCAACTTTATGATTCTATAATTCTAGAAGTTCTTACTGAATCTGGAAAAAGTCATATAGCCAGGCATTTCTCTAATCCTCAGCACACTCAATAGAAATGGGATGTTCACAGTGGGGACTACAGTGACTTTATCTTAGTCCAAGGGAGCTCTTCTCTGTTCAGTGGAATGAATACCATTCTGAAGCAGAGGAAGTTCTCTTGAAAATGATGAAATGGTGTGATTGCGCAGTTGCAGCAAAATTGGGGGCGGGGGAGGGAAATAAAAAAAATGTACAGGGTACTTGCATTGTGTAGGGAAGTGGTTCCCAACCTTTCTAATGCCGTGAGCCCTTAATACAGTTCTTTGTGTTGTGGTGACCCTCAACCATAAAATTATCTTCATTGCTACTTCATAACTCTAATTTTGCTACTGTTATGAATCATAATGTAAATATCTGATATGCAGGATGTATTTTCATTCACTGGACCAAATTTGGCACAAATGCCCAGTATGCCCAAAGTTGAATACTGGTGGGGTTGGGGGGAGGGGGTTGATTTTGTCATTTGGGAATTGTAGTTGCTGGGATTAGGGTTCACCCACAATCAAAGAGCATTCTGAACTCCACCAACGATGGAATTGAACCAAACTTGGCACACAGAACTCCCATGACCAAAAAAAGTACTGGAAGGGTTTGATAGGCATTTATCTTGATTTTTGGAGTTGTTCACTTGCATCCAGAGAGCACTGTGGACTCAGTGATAGATCGGGACCAAACTTGGCACGAATACTCAATATGCCCAAATGTGAACACTGCAGAATAGATCTTAACGTTTGAGAGTTGTAGTTGCTTGGATTTAGAAAGCTTCAAGAAAGAGCTCAAAACCTTGCTTTTTCGTTGTGCCTTTGGAGAGTAATACCACACAATCATATACAGTTACTCCCCCTCA